TCCCTAGGACCACCACAAATTACCTCCAGTACATCCCAACTCGCCCGGGACCATGTAGAATCCTTCGCAACATTCATATTTGATAACCCTACAATGAAATGAAGGCATTAAAAAAACGTGCTTTTCCAAAAAAAAAAATGAATCAAAATAAGTAAATAAAATCATACAGCAGTGACACAAATATGATTCATTAAAATTACCAATTCATTTGTCAAATTAGACTCTTACTTTTTCGCGTGATAACCGTGTAATTAAGTCATCCTTATTTTCGTCGCAATCTCTTTGCATCGTGCAATTAAACCACAGTGACTAATTCAAAATCACAATACCAAGAATAACTAACATCCTCGACATTAAAAGCAATACTGCGATATAATCATCAAGAACAGACGCGGAAGCAGATTCATCACTTAACCTTATCCACAATCTGAATCTTCAAAATAGTTAACGAGTATGAACATTCCAAGAATAAATATATAATCCTCAGCAACAAACAACAAATTCTCTACATCATTACAAAAAATAAATACAAAAATAACAATAAATTATAAAATAATACATACGCTTGTTCCCCACAAATTACTCTAGGTCTCCAGTACTTGCATTCAGTATAATATTTTCGATTTGTGCCAGGAACTTCCTCGACCACACAGACATTCGGTCTGAAAGAAAACCAAAAAAAAATTCAAATGAATAAACTCCAAATATACCATTTATAGGGTAGGGTATCAAGAGTATCCACGTTTTCTTAATTTTCTCCTCTCCGTTTCAAATACGGCGCCAACAGTAACCTCGAGCCAGTGCATATGAAGGAATGTCGTATACGAAACAGTTGGTCCATATAAATATCTGTCCTCGGGCAAGGTAATCCTAACAATGGTGAAATGATCCGGTGACGATTGTGCAACTATAACACTATGCAAATAAGTTTTCTAACCTAACACTGTCACTATGGTTATCCGTTGTAACGGTGACGTAGCTGGCTACAATCAAATGGAACTTTCTGTAAGGTATGCGAATGTTGTAATACATGAATTTTTGTTCACCAAATGTTCAATATGTTATTGCGAAGGAAATTTTGTTAGATTCCCATTAAATAGTCTCTTAAGCACATGATCAATATGTAGGGTTATTCACGGTAAACGCATAACCTGTACCTTAAACATTTCCTACTATACATTTCCAACTTGCATGTACATAGCAAGCATAACCTCTTTAAAACAATTTCCTGATCAATGTACATGGATCAACAGCACAGATTGAATACTTGCTATTCGACGAAAAATAATTTAGAGGACAAATTTGTTAAATTAAAAATTCGTACTGTACTTTTTTATATGTAACGATGACACATGTATATGAATATGACTCGACCTTATAAAGGGATCCTGATCTGTTAAATCCAAATGAATGTTGATGGAGGCACGTTGATATTGAAACCATCAAAAGCGATGCCTGAGTCACCAGCATAAATTTCATAACTAAAAAATTGTGTCGGCGGATGACACATTTTCTACACAACAAGCATTGATTCAATTTGCAATGATCTCGTGATTTATGAGATCTGCGTACGTGTCTGCTAAATCATTTAAAGTGTGTCTCAATGTTATCTGTTGATTATACTAAGATATACTATGTCAAACTATAATATCAGTCGAGTTAATACAGTAATCAGAATATACAAAATACTATTCTGGATACAGTTACAAAAGTAGGCTATATCATAACTATTAATACATACTATATAAACTATGTATATATTTTTAGATTACAAACGCTTAAATCCAAATAACCGGTCTTCAACATGGCTAAGAACAGAGTGTTGATTAAAATCGTTTCAATTTTGAAATCACTTAATTATACACGTACGTATGCAATATTAAGTACGCGTAGACGTCGGGTCAAGTAAGAAACTGGTAATTTCGCAACTACGGTTAATCTTCAATCGTGAATTGGCTAATATTAAGGTGTTTGCCATATATAGGAGGAATCACCTTGTATAAGGGAAAGGCCCTACACTTGACCTCATTTATCTTTTTATTCTCTTCAACTGACAATAATAAGATAAATTCAATGGGATTCGAGTAAATATTTAATCACTGATATAAATTAGTGGATTTCAGGTATTTGAAAATTTTCAAAATCAAATTTTTTATATTATCGATAAAATCAACGAAATTATGTAATCATGAAATTACTTTAGCAATTATCAGTATTTAGTTGATCACACGTAAGGCAAAGTATATATGGAACTCAATGTGGACTTTAACGATAGTTACGTGTTGATTGATACAATCTGACACGCGTATTATGTAATATAAATTTTGCTTCTTGTCATCAATTTATTTCGCATAGCTTCTCGTTAACTTTAATTTTGAATATCTCCAAACTCTACTTATAACGTCGTGACAAGATTCTTTAAGCTTGGCTCAAGAATAATTTCGATGTTTAAAGAAATGTTTAAATTTAGATTAATTCACCATTATGAAAGATCCCAGAAACGATGTAATATAAATATTTGATCTAATACCCAACTACTGAAAGTCATTTTGAATAAATATTTAGAAAAAATTTTTACGGAATATAATTATATATTCACCCTTGTTCCTGAGCAGCCTTGATGTTCCACCAGGGAATCTTGTGATTGGCGTAAGCCGCTTGAAGCGCGATTAAAAACACAAGCACCTTCATCTTAATTGATTTAAATATTCAAATCAAACAATACAAAAGGGTATCATGAAGAATTTGAAATGCCAGTAAGATAAATTAAAGAATAAACAGTAGCATTAAATGAAATAATGATCATCAATCATTCAAAACGAAAAAATTCCATCTAAATACAAAATTACGATCTCAACTGCTAAATGATAATAACATTCCGATAAAAGAAATAATTTCAAATTTTTTTTTTTAATTACTCAACAAAAATGTGTTGCTCCACGATTCTCATACAAGTTAAGTAAGGTAAGTGAGCGTCAAGCTTCGTGTCCCTGGGAAGACTGACTGAACGAACTAAGGAAGCCAATGATTCAGAACCCGTTGATTCTGGTACTATGGCTTTGCAAAAGATCATGCTCTCCTACTCCATCCACGAAACCACCCACGATCCATGATCATCGCAAGACTGATCATAAAATTCGTGACATTATTTACCGACCAAGAAAGAAAAAAATATATATAGAGTGAATTGCTGCAATAACACAGAGTTCAACTATTCGTGACACACACGTTACTTATATGCACTAATACGATGTTTCCTCCAATCTTATTTTACGTAATAATCAATAATCCCAATACTTGAAGAAACTTAAACGGTTTTTATAACGCAATAAAATTTGCACTAGTAAAAGATACCATAGTATCCTGAACATTACATCAATTCGTTACTTTGTAGGGGTTCAATTGAACCACACGTCTACGCGATATCTATGTACATCGTAAATTCAGTATACGTAGGTCTGTATATAGTCACTTATAGCAATGATTATCAGAGGAATTAGGTTACTTCCCAACGGATATACAAAGGGGTCCTATAAATGGCCGTATCCTATATGCATCGAGAATGTACTTGGACAGTAATTTCCTGTATCGTGAAAACTTTTAACAAGTATTTATTGCGTATCGCGTGAATAAAATCAAAAGGGCGTAAAGACGGGGACTTTCATCGTGGATACGCCCCTGTGTCTCTAACCACGCGATATCGTACATTATATTACGCGTCCAGATATTTCCTCGATTCATTATGTCAAATTGATCAATATATTCCTTAGCTATAAATAGTCGGAGCACTCTAAATTACCTAAGTAAGTCAAACGGTGATCGCGGAGCGTACCTATCGTGTGGATCTGCGAGGAAATTGAATTTGCACGGTAATCATTCAATTGCAACAAATCATGCCTGAAAAAGTGCTTAAACCGTGCTTAATCAACTATGACAATTTGACGACTTGAGAGTTAGGAGGCGTTAATAATAGACCAGGTCTAGGTAGATAGACTCTGTGCAGATATTAAGCATCGTAGATATTATAGTCATTAATTGCGAGTAAAATAAAATGATAATACTATAATCACATAAGATATCATTAAATTATGACGCCGAGTGTCATGCCATAAAATATTTATTCATTCATATGTATCAAATATTTATCAAGAGACTCGGTCGAGTCTCGCGCCAAGTACAGGCAACCGGCTGTACAGGGCGCAGCGCGCCGAGACTCTTTACTCGAGTCAACTCCTTATACCTGTGTTTGGAACGAAATATCTTATAAACCGTTATATATGAGGAAAAGTTATTGATACATTCACTATAGGAATTGAAGATTCTGAAGCGATTCCCACCAAGTTCAATACGATTAGTGTACGAGATCAGGGCGTATTGAAATGGCGAACGAGATGATTTTATTTCAGTTCAGTCATTGTCGTCGTCTTCGTACGCTGCTTCCCGTATTTAATTATGATTTAATGGTGATTTAATAATTAATAAAACTTTATGTGATTCCTTATCGAGTACTACTTGGCGGGTCGGTGCATTTCTTGATATAAATTTGGTACAAAACCAGTACCAGTTTTCTATAGAAAGCATATTAACAATAACTTGTCAAAAATAATCACGGTAAAAGCCTAATAACAAACGTACAGCATTAGAATACTATGAGCACGTGCAAAGAAAGTACTTTGGAATTCCTGGTACGGACCCGCCAAGTAGTACTCGATAAGGAATCATCTAAAGTTTTATTAATTATTAAATCACCATTAAGTCATAATTAAATACGGGAAGCAGTAGTAACATAAAAAAGTAGCGAAAACGTTATAGGAAATATTGAAAATATAATTAAAATGATGGGCCAGTGCTAGATCATATAATAGGAAAACATGTAGTGACTTATGTACTTGGCCTCAATAATATGATATCAATACTTTTTGTTAGAGGAATTCACAGCAATCCTGTACTTGGCGTTGTTTTTTACACGTAAGTGTTTTTTGGGGGATCATTCGATTACTGTAGTAAGCATAAGAGCCACTATAGATTACTATAAAACGCAGAGCGATTTATCACACTTGATACATTTAAAGTAATATTCAATCCCATTATCAGACAGAAATTATACGAGAACATGATATTATCAGTATTGGTTGTGAGACAAATAAAAGTATTAAAGAAATAAAATATATAAAGTAATTTGCATGACCATATGGCAATGCATTCCCACGCGTGAGAAATATTCACGAGCTATTTTTATCACCCGCCGCCTATATTCGTGTGCACAACGGCCGTTCAGCTTTCGGCTAGGCTACATCGGCCATAGGACTTTTTCTCGCCCACTGGTGCAACGTTTGCCCTTTTCATGCTAATTCTGTCTCTTTCGCTCTTACGCTCTCCGCTTCTTCTCTCTGGCACTTTAGCTGATATTAACTAGTTAGTCTTAATAGTTCCTTTAATAGATTATTAGAGATAGAAGCCTTTGGCATCCCAAGAGACTAAAGCTTCACGTCAGACAGCCACAGGGCACGTGCTTTAAGAAACCTTTTAAAGTTTTCAAGACTACGTAAAAATGAATTTTCACTCTAAATTGAAATTGCTGGATAATTTATATAATCTTTATGGATTCTACTTTCGTGCATACATAATGCATATATAGGTATCGTTTGCCGATTCGTACCAGTCGAAGTATACGAATCGGGAGGGTCTGCGGATTAATCGCGTAACATTCTTCCCTTCGATGCCGTGCGACCCACCGTGATGAGTACCCTCTTCCTGTGCCCTCCTCTGGTCTCCTCTGTTCCCTGTGCCCCGTTTGCGTTCACTCTACCCGCTCGCACTCTAATCAGCTTCCTGGATGGGGCACATTATCTGCCTGATTGTAGATCCCAACGACGCGATACCTAGACCAGCCTGGAGATTCAATCATACGCTGACTGGCCGCCACTTGCGCGTGCAGTGTCGTGAAAAGGTGTTTGAGATTGACAGTGTTTTTTTGAAATAGTGTTAGACGGAGTAGGATCGTGCAGTTGCTGTGGATTATGCGCGTATATAACTGATTAAGATCGGTAAGATCTTTGAGGTTAGAAATGATTACTGGTGAATGTTGAATTAACTAAGTGATCGGTTTATATGGGATACTTAATAAGACTGTATTATTTATTTCTTTTATTCGTTTTCTCTTTATACGCCAATCAGGAAATTTTTATTAATTCAATTTTTATTTTTGAGAATCTTACGAATAGCAAGATTCTCAAGTAGGGGATTTGTGGTGACTTTAATCATTTATGTGCTACGTTATATCGTGCTTGTGCATTTCGTAATATTTTCTTCAAGTGTTCTCGAGCAAGGATTTGGGTTTGAACACGTGACGATAAGACGGAATGTAAATTCGAATTTGGTTAAGGGTGCGTCAGCGCATCTGCGTAGGATCTATAAATTGCCACGCCTTGCATCAAATGATCTATTCATTCCTTGTCTTCGTTCTAACACAAAGCTGCACAAAGTCTCTAATCCTTTTTATCGCGCACACACGCATCTCGTTGAAATTTAAATTGCAACCATGTTCTAAAAGTATTATACCTGTATTACGCAGTTTGCAAAGTGACGATTTATAATAGAAATCCATCATTGTAAAGAGGCTGAATCACCACCCATACAGCACAAAGCATTGAGATACGTTTTAGGAACATTTCTGAAAGCTCACAAGCAGATTTATATATTTCAGCCATGTTTCTAAAAGGCATCTGATTACTTAGAGTTGTGGGGATATTGCTATCCCTGCTTAAAAAATACGATAGAATTCGATAAGAAACGATAAAACTAATTGCCGACTTCAATCGTTTTCCATCAGTCCTATCTACGTCAAGTTGAAGTGATGATAGAGTCTCTATCTAATGTAATCTGAATCTATAAGGTTGTTGCTTTATCGTAATAATACGATAGAAATTTAATCTATACTTATATGTATTTTCATATAAGCAGTACGTCTATCTATGGTAATATGAAATTCACGTTCTATTACGTATATGATGCTATATGATTCTATATGAATCATATTTTTATATGTATATATCAAAATGCGTGATAGGAATCGAATCGTTTTCTATCGTCACCAACTTATTAGGGAAAAATATAAAATAAACGATAACCTTCTTATATGGCTTAATAACAAATGGTTTTCCCAACAATTATCATGAATTTAAGGATGCATTGCATGGAAGATAGGAAGAATGTTTATTTTTAATAATAATGCCAAAAAGTTAATAAATGAATTAAAAAAATTATTTTACATATTCGATAGAAAACTTTCATATGAAATGAAGTCTCTAATTTTTCCAATAAAAAAGCGTCTCCAAGACGCTGATTTTTGTCAAATTTTTCCCTTATCGCAAGATACTCAATGAAATCAATCTTTTGGTTGAGAATTTATGTACAATGCATTCTTAATACAGTTAACTAGCGATCAATTTGTCGTGTCATGCATAAAGTCATCCTATGTAATATGCAATAATAAACCTATTAAAAACGATAAACAATTGATCTGCTTCTATTTATATAAAACGATAGAAATTGTATAGGAAATAATAGATGACGAATCTAAATTTTACGAACCAAAAACACGATTGGATTAGATAGGATTTTTAAAAAATCGTTTTCTATCGTATTTTTTAAGCAGGGATAAGAGAAATAGTTCGGTTTTCGTCATAATAGATGTCTAAGAAAACAATAAGAATATTTCCATATTTTTCCAAACTACAATGAACTACAAAAATTAATAGACTGGATACTTTTCAAAGGATATGCCAGAAAAATAGTATTGCTATCCGCGGGATGATCGAGCCTGAAAGTTCTCAGCTGTTCCTCGTCCCCAGAGGAAGGCTCTTCAAGAACTCCTGAAGAGGTCATCACCTGAGTTCACGATGTCATTAGGACAACGATTATCGGGCGCCGTAGCAGTTCTCAGAGGGAGTGGAACGGATGGAAAGGAGGGCCATACGTAAAGAACTACCAATTTATTGTACAAAGAAGTTCTTTTGATTTGAAAACCTTTTTAGGTCCGGCACGGAAGACATTGAGAAGATGACGTCCGAAGACGAAGTGGAGACTGAATCTCGTCACGAATTGGACAGGTTGCAGGCGGTTTGTACAATAATACAACGATATTACCTTTAACTCAATGCGATCTAGCATATGATTACGATTCCTAATGATTAATTCTTGACATTTTAATTAATAGATCGTGAATTGGATGAGTACAAACATGTTGCTGGTTCTCACCATCGCTGGTGTGCTAGTGGGCATGGGTCTTGGATTTTTAGGACGATTAGCTAATTTCTCACCAGAGACCGTAATGCTGCTCAGCTTCCCTGGAGAGATCCTCATGCGTCTACTAAAAATGTTTATCCTGCCACTCATCATCTCGTCGCTGATTGCTGGTAATTAGACATAATACGTTTGCCTACCGAATTAATGACGGAGATAAAGAGGATGCTCAATGACATTATGTACACACTTTGTGCGTAATTGTCCGTTCAAGAGTCGACTAGGCGATCTTTAAGGATTTCTGACTTAATGAGGCGAAGAAGGAACCATCTTGAAATTATGTCATCATATTTCAGATTAACGTGATAATGGGGTTTTAATTGACAGAATCATTTAAATTCTTCGCGTATGTTATGTGTTAATTGGAAATTCTATTCAGTGGACGATATATATAGAATGCGGTTTTCTTCTTAGGAATGGCCCAGCTGGATGCTAAGAGTTCAGGAAAGATTGGCATTAGAGCTTTAACGTATTACATGGTCACGACCATTCTGGCTGCCATTGTTGGTATTGCTATGGTATTGATCATTCATCCAGGCAATCCACAAATTAAATCTACTGTAGTAGCATCATTTAGTAATGACACTAGAGTATCTACTCTTGATGCCATTCTTGATATAATCAGGTACACTATAGACTTCTTGTATATTACATTATATTAGAAAGAGAACATTGGCTGAGTTATATTTTTATTTTATTTTTCAGAAATATGGTACCGGAAAACTTGGTCCAGGCATGCTTTCAACAAGTTCAAACTACTTACACGAAAAAGGAGGTCGTGGTTTTTGGAAAGAACGCGAATCACAGTGCTTATGTACTGGAGCCAACGTTAGTTTACAGAGACGGGACCAATATTATGGGGATGATTATGTTCTGTATCACCTTTGGTCTACTCGCAGGACAAATTGGGCCCCGAGGAAAATTGATGGTTGACTTCTTTGTGATATTGAATGAAATTATAATGAAGCTCGTTAGCCTTGTGGTAATGTGGTGAGCTTCATTTGATAGCATATTAATTATATCTTTTTTAATTATATCGTCGCTTTGAACAACGTAGAGTAAATTTTGAATAGTTAATTGCATTTTATGGATTATTGAATATTTATGACAATAAGATATATTTGTAATATAGGTACTCTCCCTTTGGAATAATGTGTTTAATTGCGGGAAAAATCATGTTGATTAACAATTTAGCAGCGACGGCTCAAATGCTAGGACTTTACATGGTGACCGTAATAGTGGCCCTTTTAATTCATGCTATCATTACGTTACCATTAATATATTGGATTATAACCAGAAAGAATCCAGCAGTTTTTTTCAAGGGTATGATGCAAGCCTGGGTCACGGCTTTGGGTACAGCATCCAGGTAATTTTTATATTTCGCTAATCTTATGAGTTTCGTAAGAGTCATCAATAATCTATCTTCACATTTTTTTTAGTGCAGTAACATTACCAATTACTTTCCGTTGTCTTGAAGAGAACAACAGAATTGATTCTCGAGTTACGCGATTCGTAGTTTCTGTGGGTGCAACAGTTAATATGGACGGCACTGCTCTTTACGAAGCTGTGGCCGCAATTTTCATTGCTCAAATGAATGGAATTTCTTTAGGATTTGGTCAAGTCATAACAGTCAGGTTTGCCATTATAATTGATACAGTATTTGTCTCGATGAATCACACATACAAAAATATTGAAAGCTCTCAATTATTTTAGTCTTACAGCTACATTGGCAAGCGTGGGGGCTGCCAGTATTCCTAGTGCAGCTTTAATAACAATGCTATTGGTATTAACTGCATTGGGACTCCCAACTAGTGACGTTTCTTTGCTATTTGCAGTCGACTGGCTATTGTAAGTGTTCTATTATTTCTTGCGTACCTCTAAAGCTTTTGCTCTGTATCGATTTTTCAAAAGAACTTCTGGATTTGAAACGATGTATTGTGTTTGAAGGGACCGGCTCAGAACTTCGATCAATGTACTGGGTGATGGATATGGGGCGGGGATCGTTTATCACCTAAGTAAAGCCGAATTGGACAAAATGGATGAAGTGAAGAAGCTAGAAGCATTGGAAGCAGGTACAACACCTGAAGATATATCTGAGTGTCAAGCAGTACGCGTACTTCCAGTTGAATGTTCAGACACCAAAATTTGAATATAAGCACTTGTCACGTGAAATCATGTGACACCAGCTTAGAAAAAATGAACAAAATTGAATAATACTGAGAAACACAATGCACAATCATAATGTTGCTTAAATTTACGATTTACACGGAAGTGATGTTTGGTCATGTATTGCCGTAAGAACGATTATTTAGGGCGGATTGTATGTTGTGCTTTGAGCTTTTGCGTTGAACAAGGTGAAAGAAATTTTATAACGCCATCATATGTATAACTTGTATCATGTTTACTGAATTTGTCGACAAATTTGAGGGAAATCAAGAAACCATTTTGTAATATACAATAATGATGAACGAGCATGCTAAGTACAAAGTGAAAACCCACAGTAGATTTTATGTATGGATAACAGTTATAACCTTGCTACAAAAAAGAGGAATGAGAGTGTTAAAAGATTTGTAAGAAAATATAAAATATCTACTATTTCTCTGACAAAAGATTCAGTAATTTCAATTTTTTTAAATTATCTATAAAATAGTAGTGTGTACGAGTCCCCCTCCAGTCTGGCGCACACTTACATTATAGAGATCATTATGTAAAATCAAGTTTTTATAACAAATAACAAAAGCAACCTTTGTTAAATTCCAAAGGCACATAATGAATGAAATTAAGTATGTTCATTAATTTTTCCACCACGTTAGACAGTCCCTTTACCGATAAACTGTTGATTTTTATAAAACGTTATTTATGCTAATATTTTAATTATCTATAGTATTTATTTAATGTATGTTATTTTAGAAATAAACATATAAACTAGATTAATTGTTAGATCGTGTATCATTATAAAGAATAGTGAACCAATAAGACTATTCAAATCAAGTTTTGCTTGGTAAATTATGAATACGATTGATATTGTGAATCTTACATGTGTTATTTTATTCATTGTATGACAACAACTATTGCTCATATAAATACAAACGTAATATTTTCTTGATTCATTATAAATAGAATTGTAGAATGCCTAAGTCCATGGATGATTTTGTTTTAATAAACGTGCACCATACCATAGAGGAATCTGTTTCCAATGCTAAGAAAAACATTTTCTTACGAATTTGAATATTAATTAAGATAAAAAAAATGCTGCAATTCATTAATGAAACTGAATATCATACGTTTGTCAAAAAGGATACGTCCAAAATAATACATATGTCTGAAACAGTATTATACATAACACTAGTTAAGGAAAAATAGAGATAGTTTTGTCATGTGAAATATTGCACTTGTTTTGTAAAGGATACAAATAGACCTCCAAAAAAACCATTTGTCAAGAGGCTGCGCCTGCTAATAAAGTATTTTTTCCATTGACCACCAGCTTTCATAAGCAACATTGCCTAAAATATAAATTGTCTGGTAATCGAGGTAATACAAGTATCAAGCAAACATTTCTAAATACCATCTTTTTGACTCACCCATAAACCAATTACAGCAAATATGTAGAAACCAAATCCATACAATCCTGTTAAACCTAACAGACCAGCCGTACCACCAGATAACGCTGCCATGGATATCCTACAATATTCCACGACTGCTGCATTATTGCGAACTGCAACTTCGCTATATGCAATCACTTCTACAAAAATAGCATTAATTTTCAATTATTTCAATTAATCTTGCATTTTAATAGTCAATTAGAACAAAAAAGAAGGCATAGAAAAGTCTGTAAATTTATACGTACTCAAAGATTGTTTACTTAATAAGCTATAATTAAATTAGTTACACATATAGAAATAGGTATTGTATTTAATTCCGAAATAAAAAATCATATGCACTATAAACATAACCTCTAAACGAAACTGTCAAATTGGAATAGAGTAATCAAATATACTGTATACTTTTTCCTTACCACCGCTTCTTTCTTGCTTCGTTCGTACTTTTCCAGCCATAATTCTATGATGATTTCTTTACTAAAACTATAGCAATTACATGCGTTTTATTTCTGTCGCGACGAATTCAACGATGGACAACACTGACTAGTAGATTTGGCTTATTGAAGACCTGTATATCATATGTGCCAAACGATAAAGAAGTATCTTACCAACAGTAGATATTTAGAATTCTCAATTCTTGTTTAAAATGAACGGGCTACCTAAAGTGTTCGTACAATCATTTCGTAATGTAGGTCCAATATATTTGTACATTTAAAAATTTTCGTAAAAAATTCATATCTACAAAACAATAATTGTATATTTTCAGCAGTTTTATAGTTATATATTTTATAGTTCTACCTTTTGTCACAAAGAATAGATACATATATTCAGTATACATATCTTTGAGCATCACGCACAATATAAATATTACCTGGTATGTCTGAAAATAGTTTAGCAGCTTGACGCATAAGTTGGAGTAATAATAATGATTTCACTTTTTCAAAAATACCACGAGTAACCGTTTAGTATAGACAGATAAGTCTACAATATAAATCTTAGAGTACTCCAAAAGTTGCCACAAAGTTCAAAGACTAAAACGATCCAACAGCATAAATATTTTCCAAAATGCAAGAAAATTTATTTTCTATTTATAACCAATTTGTTCCTGGCTATTAATTACGATTCCCGTACCTTCAGTGAATTACCGACAAACATCATTAGCAGAGCGTCTACAGAAATTGCACACAACACACAATAAATACAGCCTGCCATTTGTAAAACAGTTCAGAAGAGCACTCTTTCTTTTTAAACTATAGGTGTCAGCCATAGCTGTATATTATTTTCGAATGCATTCAGGGACAAGAATGATTCTTGTGTGTCGTTGGTCGTACGACATGCGGAGCTTTTCGTTTTCGTTTTTGTCGAGCAGGCAGACGGCTCGAAACCAAAAATAGCCAAGAGCCACGGTCTGTTCCGTTCAGTTAGGAGTGCCAGAGCTCTTCTAGCTTCGATAGAATTTTCAGTCGGGGCTATTTCGGCTCGGAAGAATTTGCCGTCCAACTGAATTCTTCGATACGACTTACCGAACGAATTTAAGAAACAAGAATTCAAACGAATCGTGTCGTTTTCCGATCGCGTGTGTTGTACGGGAAGTGGTATACAACGGAGGTGCATTTTCACTATTTCTCTTTTTCTTTTTGTATTTTTCCTCCTTTTTACCTTTATACAGTGCGCTAACGTGTGTTACGAAACGTTTTATGTAGGCGTAATGCGGTGCGAACTGCTGTAGTTGTGTCTCGTAGCTCGCATTGCGGTATAAACTGTTTTGAGTTTTGCATAATTTTCTCGAATATTCAAGTTTTAGTTTAAATCTTTCAAAATATAGAACTGCCCATATAGAATTCATTGCAATTCTTAAAGAATTTATTTGTATTGTTATTAGCATATTACTTGAGATTGAAATCATATTTAATTACCATGTGTATTGTTGAATTATGAATATTCAATTTTCTTTTGATAAGTTTTGATGTTGTGAAACCCAATTATTTGATTCTAAACTAATTTCTGTTGATATCACGCTATTTCTATTTCTTAAATCAATATTAGTTTGCCTTGACACGTGGCCGGTGCATTAGACTTTTATATTTAATGAGAAATAGTTCTATTTTATTAATATAATTCTGCACAAATAGAGTATATCAAATTTAACTCTTCATTCATTTAATTGACTATTTCAAGGTAGAACGAAGTGCATATTTAAGGATATTATGGTATCTTCAGTGCATCCATCTATCATCTAACTGGAAATAGAATCAAGTTATAGCAGTACACATACATGCACTCTGTATTTTGTATTTCGCATTAAATAACAATCATTCTTTCCTAATCAATGAATCGCAAAAGGTACAGCAGAAAAAACACCTTTACGACAATACCGACTGTCCGCGATTACTGTTCCACATGTCATATATCCTAACTGCAACGAAATACATCAATTCATAGTGCCTCTATAATTCTATTGAAACCTCAACAAATTATACAATTCGCAAAAATAACGCAAAACTTTTTCATATAAAACAGATTTAGTAACCGGCAGTAACAGCCGGTAGAGGAGTCAAATCGAGTGTGCGAAATTTGATTAGAGGTTAGCGCGTGCGCGCGTCAACTCGCTGCGTGCACCCTTCGGCCAGTCAGTGATTAAGGGTCGACGGGGTAGGTCGCGTTAAATTGTAAACGCGACGAAACATGCTGAAACGTGGCTTTACGTGATTCCATCCCGTTTGATTGGAGAGGTGCGTGAAAGCGTGGCGAAAGGATGGCGGACAGCGAGGGTGGTTCTGAGCAGGATGACGTATCCTTCCTCCGTACGGTGAGTCTAAGTTTTATATGAAAAGATGAGTTGATTTCAAAATACTACTGCATTGCTAACCCTAATCTGAGCATGCACACTATGCCAATACTTCTAATATACATAAATCATAAACGTTAACGATCCCAAACCGCTCTGAACAGTTTTGTCCGTTTGTAAACTGAAATATCCATCTTCAATGAATGTTTGATGTATTTTGAACACGACATTAAGAAGTGAACTCGTTCAAATCGTATTTTACGTCTCTTCGAATGCTTCTAAATAAACATCACCGCGTACGACTACACAAACACTCGCCAGTGCTCAAGATCTTGGAGAATCCATTGTAACGTTCATGAATGCGTCGTAGGAAATTGTTACTTGTAAACTCTGACACTAGTCCAAGAGAGCTTTATTACTGTTCAATGTATGTATGTACATAGGACCGCGACTTAAAGCCGAGCAATTCGAAAGAGTAAAATCAATAAATGGGTTACTAGTAGTTTTTACGTATAAGAACAAAAAAAAAGGGGGATCCATTGCATCGTAGAAAGGCTGTTAAAGCTTATGTACTCAATGACCTTGACCTCGTTTTTTCACATAGAAGTTGATCGGGCAATCGCAGTCAGAGGAATAGTGTAGGGCTTTCAATTTCGTTAGATACCTCGTGGGAGATGTTCCGGTCTTAATGGGAATGCTTTAGGTGGTCTCGCGATCCATTGTTATTGTACGAATTGTTTATTTAAACGTAGCACGCGGTATCGATTTCTCGGTATAAAAAATACATAATATAAGCGAACCTTCGCGGATTTTATGCCTTCAGCGTGCGTCATCGATTACTCGAACTATCTCCCGTTGAATTCAGAGGAAGATAAATTAAGCTCCCTGCCTGTCTCAGCCCTGACTAACGAGACGAGACAATACAAATGAGCGAGCAGCTATACAAGCTAATAAAGCAGCTGAAGAACTTTCAAGAGAAATTTTCTCGCTCGACTTGGAAACTTAGAATCCATACTGTAATATTATTCTGCTTTGGATTTTTTATACGGATGGGATACAGTTGTCTCAAGGAAGCAAACGGTTTATGAATGCTATCGCTATCAATTGCAAGGACTAAAGCGAGTAAGATTACAGGTTAAACTTTTAGGTACTCGATGTTAACGTAGCACAGGTGTAAAATGTAGCTCAACGTCAGGTTATTTTTAACGCAAGCAACAATTGCCCCAGCATCCTCTTTGTTCTAAATGGGTTGGTCCGAACATCATTTTCTGTATCTATTATCCTTATGGTTTTCACTCCTAAAGTACAATAGATTACAGTGCACTAACTAAAGTACATTTATAATAGTTTTATAGATGCTGGAATTTTTTAGCATTGGAATTCTTTCCGAAGAAGTGATCACGTGATTAACTTCGTGGCCAAAATTAATTTCATATTGAGATATTAATCAAATACGTAATGGTGGTTATAGATGAACTTTTGTTCTTTCTTGTTTTTTATCATCAGAGTTATTCTTAAACACTCTTTGTATTCAACATATTTTTTTGGATTTGTTTTGCCGCCTCTTTCTTTCTTCCCGCGCCTTTTTAATGTATTTCTCTTTCTCTTTCTCTGACATCCTACACCATATTTTCCCTGCAGCCTTTGCTACCTCGGTGACAGATTTACTGGGATCCTTGTAATACATGGTCAGGAAAAAAATGAGGAAAGGATTACGCGATATTGGAGTTTTATGACGCTTTCCAGATTTATCAGACTTCCCAGACTTGCATTTGGACTTGGAACTTTGCGGTTCACTCTTTTTTGTACTGCATGGAAAGCAAAAGCCAAGTACTGGCTCTAAATTTTGCTGCAGAAGATCCAGTTGCTGTGAATCCTCATTTCGTAAATTGGTCTCATTGCTGTAATATATTGTACCTAAATATCATGCAATCCAGTACAATTTGGTGTTATAACAACATTGAGAAATTGTAAAATATACATGGGAGATATTGTAGAACAGGTTAAAAAAAAATAAAATAATTACCATGGCTCTTCCATTTTATCCATATGCTCATTCATTATTTCTCGTTTATTATTGAACAGTTTACTTGATAATTTTACGTTTTCACCAATAAAATGTCAACGAGCTGCTTTAACGAAATTCCGAACAACTGAAGATCTTTTTATAATTTTGTTCTGCCATCGATAAAAGAAAATATATATGTATAGATGGTTATCCTTGATTTGGACTTTCGAAACTTTTTTTCATACATAATATTCAACGCGTCGCTTGATAACTTTTCACATGATAAAATGGGATTCCCAACCTTCTGCAATGTAGAATAAACAGGGAGAATCGATTTTCTTGTTAATTGAAGTATTTTGATATAGAATATTTCATTTTTGCGGAAATCGCATATTTTCCTGTGAACTTCCTCAATGCTTATATAGTATTTTAAATTACTTGCAAGACTCATATTGACGAAGGAACTAAAGGAAGCTAAAGAAAGTTGTAACGATCATTTTCACCCTCATCACCTTTGGGATATGATTACATAATTTCTCATGGACATCAAGTTTAATTAGTTTTTAGTGCTATTTGACTATTACATTGCAATACTATAAGCATAAACGTGTAATGTTGTGTAACAACTTAGTTAAAATGACATAAAACCCTCATTAGTTAAAAACAAAGTCAAAATGATTCTACTATAAAATACAGACAGTAGAATATTTAAACCAACATATAAATTAAAGCCTTAAAATTTCGATGTTTAATTCAATTATATATTCATTGCTGTAACTTCGTACAGCGTAGGTCGTTATTAGCGTTTTCAGTAAACAAGGAAAAAATAGATGAATTGCATATACATCTGAAAGTATTATCTCGAAAATGTATAGTGAAAATGAATAAAAACTCGCTTATATCGTAGGTGGAAAAGTGGGTTGGTCAACATGATAAGACGTATCACGCAATGCGTAATCATGAATTAGGGCTATCTGCATATGAGACACGAATATTTATATAAATTTATGAAAACCTACTTCCGTTACTATAGATCAGATTAACCTTTCTTCACTATTTCGAAATATAAAGTATCATACCCGAATATCATACAGATAGCACGTGCAGGAGCATCCAGTTAAAAATATAACGAAGGAAAACCCCAAGCGTCCCTTTTAGTAAGAAAACTTCATCGCGCACCCCAAAGCAAAAAGTGATAGCCACAGAGAAAAAAAGATAGAAGAAACCTTTAACTCATCCAAGAAAGAAATCGATACGGCATATTTTTCTAAGATATGGCCTTCGCCATATACATATGAAAGAAACCCCTTGAAACATCGAGCAAACAAGGGTGCGTCGACGGATATGTCAACGGTATAATTAGGATGGTGTCGTTCCATCGTAATAATTAGGTATACTTTCATAATGCTCCAGAAAACCACATAACGGAAGCCATCTTGAAAGGTCATATCCCGTGGACAATAGTTGACGTTAATATATAAAAAGCGATTTTAATGACAGGTGTGAATCATAAAAAATGATTTGACCTAAGTAGCAATTTGAAAATAGAAAGTCGAATTTTTGTTAAAAAGATAAAGGCAACATTTTTTTAATTCGCGTGAAGATAAACGAGGCCTTGTTTTCCTCGTAAATCCTTGGCGTATCTTCGAACGTGTCATCGTGCTGCTTTGGCAACTTATAAAATATATATACGTAGAATACAGTATTCGCATGATTTACGATTCTTTACGTATTCTAGGTATAGAATTGTTCGGAATAATCTTATCGTTAGATATAGGGCTGCATCCTTGACTTGAAGCACTGAACGTCCTTGCTTCGATCGCAATGCCACGTACCAGTGACTGATTGTTCGGGGTACTGTTATAGATTTATTAGATTACTATTATAATTCTACCGCTAGATATTAAATGACTAGGAACTTGTGGAATTATTTAATGGAAGTTATATTTTCACCAGGCTATGGAATATTTTGTAGTTTGACAATTAATGCACTTTCGAAATTTGTAAGAAATGCGTACATATCCAGAAAGCATTGCGGCTTGCATGTCGTGCAGAGTTTAATTCCTGCATTAGGTATTATGTTAATCGTCACTTTTGCATCTTGTTACTGTATATTGCACTGTGTATATTGTTAGGCATGTAATTGCTATGCACATTCATTATTCCTTTGTATCGTATACACAATAATTGTGAGAAATACAAATGACGGTGTTACTTCTATAGGAAGATTCTAGTTTCTTTTAAAAATTTTGAGTATTTGGTTGATTTAAGGAATATATGATTATGTAGCTGGAAAATAATTTTTAAAAGAATATCAAGTGAATCTTGAGGTGAGATGCTTATTTCCTGACTCGGTTTGCATCTGTGAGCCCAGCACATTCTTAAGGCCAGCCAAATTGGTTTTGGCACACGACGCAACTTTTGCCATTTGGCCCAGATCATATTTTACTGTTTCGCAAAGCTGATTACTGGTAGCTGTTCTGAAGTTGTAATCGGCGCCTACATTGGTTTCCGATGCATTTTTCAGAGTATTGAAATTACGTGAAATAATTGATTGTCACATTAACGCATGGGAATATGAAAATGAAATAAGAAATTTTTCAAATTTACAGGAGGACATGGTGTGTCTGTCTTGCACAGCAACAGGGGAGAGGGTTTGTCTGGCTGCTGAGGGTTTCGGAAACCGGCACTGCTTCCTCGAAAATATTGCCGATAAGGTAATTAAGAATTATATGCATAAGCTATATTAAGCGATATGAACTTAATTCAAATTGATAATTTGTTAATTTATTTATTTATTTTTTTTTACAGAACATTCCTCCTGACCTGTCACAGTGCGTGTTTGTAATAGAGCAAGCTCTTTCCGTTAGAGCCTTGCAGGAATTGGTCACTGCTGCTGGTTCTGAGACGGTAACGTATTCTAGAATAGGGACCAAAAAAAAATGAAAACTCTTGTATACAAAGCTTGAGAAGCTTTTATGGCGCGTTTAAAAAGATCAGTATGCAGTGGATACTGTACTTAAAAAATTAATATCATAATAGAAATGATAACAGTATAGGAGTGGGCCATAAAATGTTCTATTTTGTGTTGTCATATGCAGCGTACACGATGTTGTCTTTTTGTTATATCCGTAGACCTTAAATGCCCAAGCTCCAAAGCCTTTTATTTGCAATTAACTAAACCCGTCGATAGAATCAGAAAATATGCAATTATTCTGCGTGCAACTGTGCGTGCAATTATGCGTACTGTTGGTCAGTTGAAAAATCTTATTTTTCTATAAGATGCACACGATTATTGTATTAATAGCAATTTGTATAGATTTAATTGAGAAATATTTTCTGATTACTTCCGCATCTCCTCCTACCTGTCTAGTATATCGCATGACGTACCGTAATCCACAATACATTGATATCAGATCACTGCTCTCCTCAGTCTCCGCGTATAAATTAATGTTGTTCAGTGCGCACTTCGCTAGAAATCTGTTAGACGTCATTCCGCAAAAGAATTTTGTACGAACTGACAGCGCTTTGTAAGACAAGGGATTTGACATAGTCAGCATAAAAATTGACTTTTCTCTGTATTTTTTATTTGCAGCAGCAAGACCCTTTAGTAAGTATTTTTTCAAAAGTATCGATTCGGATTTCATTATTATTTACAGTCAATTATGATTTCTTCACTTATCTCATTTTATTCACAAGGATTGTTTTGCTTTTTTTTTTCAAATTAACCACCTTTCATCAAATCATTTGAAATCGATATGGGAATGTTATATATATCATTTTTTTAAATATTTCTTGTTATTCATAAAATTATCCTTTTTTTTTTTATCGCTGTGTGTTTAGAATTCGATTATTGTCATGTTATGTTTGCTCCTAGATTCTGCGCTTCGACGATCCTCCTTTAATCCCATTCTGGCCGCTTTCTTCGTTAATTTGAAATGTAGGCTATTCTATTCGTGTGATTCTTATTTTTTTTCTACATGAATTTTAAAGCACTCTTTCCATCAGCATTTGCACCGGTTGATTTTTTTTTTAATGGAATTACGTGTAGGCAGATCCTAGAAATCTGCCTTATTTCATTTCTAAAAATATATTTCATAAAATTTTGATTCATGGCCGGAAGGGGAACTAATATTATGTACTTTAACACTATTTGTAACGTATCTATAACAATACGCTATTATGGCCTTCTCTTATTTGTAGACTAATTAGTTTAGAATATCCACTTCATTAAAATGATAGTCTCTGAAAAATAACATAACATCCAAACACTTATGAGTAACGTTGTTTGGATATCATATATCAAAAAGTAAAAAATTAGTATCATTTGAAACACTATTACTTTTTTAAATAAATCTTTCCTCGTGGTTATAACGCCTTATGTGTTTTCTAATACATGAAAATGATTATCTATCGATATACAATTACTTTGAAATTTTTTAAATAATTTATTATTCTATTTGTCACTTTTTTCAATATTGATTATTTCCTCGCACCAAATTCTGTGTACTAAAAAAAGTATAAAAGAATATGCTTTATAACGTTATACTATACTTTTAGGGCAAGGGTACAGGATCTGGGCACAGAACATTGCTTTACGGCAATGCAATTCTACTTAGACATCAAAACAGCGACATGGTAAGTTGGAATTATATTCCGTTTAGCTCTGATTAATCTCTCTAAACAAGATCTACATTTCATCCGTATTCACCTAGTACCTGGCGTGCTTATCGACGCTTTCATCGAACGACAAACTTGCTTTCGACGTTGGTCTACAAGAGCACTCTCAAGGTAAATCATTATGGAACCATATCCATACACGCTGTCAATTGTATATAACTTTAAATAATTATTTCTGCAGGAGAGGCTTGTTGGTGGACAGTGCATCCGGCATCGAAGCAAAGATCAGAAGGTGAAAAAGTGCGAGTAGGTGATGATTTAATTTTGGTGTCTGTCGCTACCGAACGATACTTGGTGAGTATGTGTTTTATTCTACGTACTATATAAATCTATCATATCAATTAAAATTCCACTGCATAATCCTTCATATTCGTTTCTTTCAGCACACAACAAAAGAAAATGACTTGTCAGTAGTAAATGCTTCTTTTCACGTGACTCATTGGTCCGTCCAACCGTACGGTACTGGAATAAGTAGGATGAAGTATGTCGGTTATGTGTTCGGTGGTGATGTGTTGAGATTTTTTCATGGAGGAGACGAATGTCTCACTATACCATCGACTTGGAATACATCTGCAGGACAAAAGTATACACTGAAGTTATCATATTAAATGACCATTCGATGAATAATTTAAAGGGTTTGATTATTAACTTTGTTTATTTTGACAATGCAGTATTGTAATCTATGAAGGTGGTAGTGTAATGAGTCAAGCTAGATCATTATGGAGGCTGGAACTTGCCAGGACAAAATGGGCTGGTGGTTTTATTAATTGGTTACATCCTATGCGAATCAGACATCTTACTACTGGTCGTTATCTTGGTGTGAATGAGAATAATGAATTATATTTAGTAGATAGGTATGTAATAATTGTTTGAAGGGTATTGATAAATTCGAGATAGAGAATTTTCAAGTATGTGATATTTTGTTTTAAGGAATGACGCAACTATTGAAACCTCAACATTCTGGCTTCGGCAAGAGAAGGATGATCAAAAGACTATTCTTGAAGATAAAGATTTAGAAGTAATCGGTTTACCCATCATTAAATATGGTGATTCCACAGTGATAATGCAACATGCTACGACGTGTCTGTGGGTGTCTTACAAGGTAATTAATATTATAATCAGGTCTTGTATTTTTATTATTAAAGAAACTAATTGTATAATTTTTACTTTTAGTCATACGAGACGAAGAAAAAAGGCGTAGGAAAAGTTGAAGAAAAACAAGCGGTCTTGCACGAAGAAGGGAAGATGGATGATGGTCTCGACTTCTCACGGTCGCAAGAAGAGGAATCGCGTACTGCTCGCGTTATCAGAAAATGCAGTAGTTTATTTACTCAGTTTATCACGTGAGTACCGCGCCGTAATAAAATACAAACCGAAGATATATTTTATGAAAATTGAAATGAGAAATTATTTGAGTACAGCCTGTTAATGCAAACAAAAATGTTTTAGAGGCCTAGAAACCCTGCAGCTTGATAGAAGAGCATCCATGTTCTTTCAGAACGTAAACTTGAACGAAATGGTTATGTGCTTAGAAGATTTGATTAACTACTTTGCACAACCGGAAGACGACATGGGTAAATTTATACTTAATCTCAGCATCTTGCATATAACATATCAAATATGGTATCAAACATTTTATCTTTTCTATATCAGAACACGAAGAAAAGCAGAACAGATTCCGTGCATTGCGTAATCGTCAGGACCTCTTTCAAGAAGAAGGCATCCTGAATCTCATTCTGGAAGCCATTGACAAGATCAATGTGATCACTTCGCAAGGTTTTCTGGTGGCACTTTCCGGAGACGAGAGTGGTCAATCTTGGGATCAAATATCCGGTTATCTCTATCAACTTTTGGCAGCTATCATCAAAGGAAATCATACCAACTGTGCTCAATTTGCCAATAGCAATCGTCTCAATTGGTTGTTCAGCCGATTGGGATCTCAAGCCTCCAGCGAGGGCACAGGGATGTTGGACGTACTTCATTGTGTTCTTATCGATTCACCCGAGGCCTTGAACATGATGAGGGTAATAGATCATAGTATAATTATTTTTTATAATCGTGGCCAAACATTAATGAACATACATCATTGTCATGTTTATCAATTTTAGGACGAGCACATCAAAGTTATTATATCTCTTCTGGAAAAACATGGAAGGGATCCTAAAGTATTAGACGTATTGTGTTCTCTGTGTGTGGGTAATGGGGTAGCGGTTCGCTCCTCACAGAACAATATTTGCGATTTCCTACTTCCGGGCAAAAATTTATTACTGCAAACTCAGTTAGTTGATCACGTGGCGAGTATACGTCCCAATATATTTGTCGGAAGGGTAGAAGGTTCCGCCCTCTATCAAAAATGGTATTTCGAAGTGACAGTAGATCATATTGAGCAAACAACGCACATGATGCCTCATCTTAGGATCGGTTGGGCAAACACAACTGGGTAAGCAATCAATAAGTATAAGAAAGATGGAAAGATATGGGAATTACTTTATTATGGGGATGAATTTTTTCAAAGGTATATGCCGTATCCCGGAGGTGGTGAAAAATGGGGCGGTAATGGTGTCGGCGATGATTTATATTCTTTCGGTTTTGATGGCGCGAATCTTTGGACTGGCGGAAGAAAAACGGAAGTGGTTTCAAACGCTACTGAACCATTTATTAGAAAGGGCGACGTAATTGGTTGCGCACTTGATCTGACAGTACCGATAATAACGTTCGCCTTTAATGGAATACATATAAAAGGATCCTTCCGTAATTTTAATCTGGACGGCATGTTCTTCCCTGCAATCAGTTGCTCCTCCAAGTTATCATGTAGATTTTTACTTGGTGGTGATCATGGCAGATTGAAATATGAACCACCTGATGAATTTTCGCCATTAGTCGAGAGTCTTTTGCCTCAACAAGTTCTTTCGTTGGATCCGTGTTTCTATTTTGGCAATATGAACAAAGTTGTTCTTGCTGGACCATGGCTGGTTGAAGATGACACGGCATTCGTACCAGCACCTGTTGACACGTCGATGATTAATTTACCAGCTTATATAGAACAGATAAGAGATAAATTAGCTGAGAATATTCACGAAATGTGGGCGATGAATAAAATAGAAGCTGGTTGGATATTTGGAGAACAAAGAGATGATCTTAGAAAGATTCATCCATGTATTGTGCAGTTTGAAAAACTTCCAGCTGCAGAAAAACGTTACGATACTCAATTGGCTGTACAGACGTTGAAAACCATTTTGGCTCTGGGTTACTATATTACTATGGATAAACCACCATCACGTATAAAAACTTTACGCTTGCCAAATGAACCCTTTTTGCAAAGTAGTGGATATAAACCAGCACCTCTTGATCTTGGTGCGATTACGTTGTCACCAAAAATGGAGGAGCTCGTAGATCAGCTTGCCGAGAACACCCACAATTTATGGGCTAAAGAGCGAATCAGTCAGGGCTGGACTTATGGATTGAATGAGGATTCAGCAATGAGAAGAAGTCCACATTTGGTACCTTATCCAAAAGTAGATGAAGCTATCAAAAAAGCTAATAGAGATACTGCTAGTGAGACTGTAAGAACTTTATTGGTTTATGGATACATGTTGGATCCGCCTACTGGAGAACAGCACGAAGGTAAATCAAGTAATTAGACAACTATTTATTACAAGTATTACAATAATAATTATATTTTAGCACTGCTTCTTGAAGCTAGCCGATTACGTCAACTTTACTTCAGGACATACAGAGTCGAAAAGCACTATGCTGTCAATAATGGCAAATGGTACTTTGAATTTGAAGTACTAACTGCTGGTCCGATGCGTGTTGGATGGGCTAAGGCTGACTGCATGCCTGGTAGTATGTTGGGCAGCGATGAAAATACTTGGGCCTTTGACGGATACAACGTAAGTCCTATTTTTTATATATATATACATATATATAATCTTTTACAGTAGCCATCGATTAGGGCAGCTTCAGATAAAAGTTGCAAATTATTACATATGCAGCTGCTAAGTAAGATCCCAAAGATGTTTCAGAGTCAGTATAAATATATCTTAATTATTTGTAAGAGGTAGGTGTTACGTTTTTTATTCATACAGATCCAGCTGCATCTGTATTGTAAAAGTAAAGATTTTGTATTTGAAAAAAAAAAAGAAATGTCGATTTGATCCTTATCCATTGCAACAGGAATGTTATAGTTCAAGGTTGTAGAAGAGGGTACCGATCATTTAACGTTAATCACTACTTGTCAATAATTAGTAATTCATTAAAAATATGTCATCCTAAATATTAGGTGACCAAAGTACACTGCGGTACCAACGAATCTTTTGGTCACAAATATCAAGTGGGCGACGTAGTTGGCTGTTTCATTGACGTCCCAGACAGAACGATCAGTAAGAGTCCCATTTCCCAATAGCGAATAGCGGTCCACCATTTTTTTCGTTTTTGGTCACGAATTGTCTTCGTCTCGCTCTATGTTCTTCTATGTTGATTTGGTTTTGCATCCTGTCCCTGATGAATGAAATAAAATTTCATTTAATCACGCGTGTGGCGTAATCTTGAATTCGAGGTTTTGAGAGAACATTCAGAACAATTTGAAAAATGAATTTAACGTTGATCAAATATCCTTTTTTTAAATATATGTATTTTTTAATATGAAAAATACGATAGAAACTGGAAAATATTAAATTCGATCGCATGTTCTTTCAAACATCGAAAGGTTATACTACGCTTTATAAAAATGCTGAGGGCCTGTAAGATAACTGATAGGTTTTGGCGGCTACGTACTTAACAAGACATCAAGAATGGCCGCTATCGATCTACATACAAACTCTTGAACTGTTGAAATTTTATTTTAAGGAGGAAAAAGTGTACTCAAGCACAGCAGAAAGTTTCGGCAAACAATGGCAGGTTGGAGATGTTGTCGGTGTTTTCCTGGATCTTATTGACCGAACAATTAGTAAGACGGAATCTTTAAGCAAACGCTTCTGCGGCCATTTCAAGCTATAATCTGACCGTAGACATAGACTACTGGATATTCAGTTTAATACTATGATGAATTTCATGTATTTTTGAAATACTATACAATATTTTTACGGCATTCGTTCGCCATTCGATTGAATGATTAAGAATCATTTCCACTTTGATTTTAAAAACATGAATTTTAATAACGTAATTTCGTTAGATTGTTTTTTCTTAAGATATTCATTCCTCATCGATTTTATGTTTTTCATATGGCACAGAAAAAGTTCATAGTCTACTATTAAGACTATTTAATAAAAATAGCATATTTAAAAAAAATTAAAATTATTACTACAGCCGTAGTTGCAATTTCTCAACGTCGTTTATTTTTTAACGTTCACATACTGATTTAAAATTCTTATAAGTGATATCATTATCTCATTTATGTGTATAATTAATAATTATGCAATTTATCTATGATTTATCTGATATCCAGTATTCTACCCGGTATCATACAATTAGCGACAACAGCGCTGTCACTCATAGCTACTAATCATTAAAATGACGGGTGACCCCAAACTATAACTGTACAATATTATCCAATGAATTATGTAAATATTAATTCTATAGTAGGTTAAAAAACATGCAATATCGACGAATAATTGGACGTTTTCCGCCATCATTTTTTTTCCTATCAATATCAAACTGTCAGATTGAATGCATACTTATATACTTATAAGATCCTACTGTATTGTATTACGTAATATCTTTGGGGACCACCGTAGTACACTATTATTGTATTAGAAATACTGCAAACAATGTTTATGATTAGAATATAATTGATGACTTTATGTAGACCAAAATTTAGACCTTTTAACATCCTTGTTTGTGCTTATAAATTCTTGTTCTTAATAGCCGTCAGAAATGTCTGAATGGGCCCATTCGGATGCTTCAGAACGTAGTAAATTTTTTGTATTTAATCAAATCATTATCATCAATTACTAATTATGTTTTTGCATGGTAATTTTGTTCTCAGCTGGTAACTACACTTTTTTGCAATATGCCATATGACATCGATATTTCAATATCATTTAATCAATGACAATACTCAGACATGTCCAATATTAATTGTACTATTTGTACAATTTCTTTTCATTTGTGCTTGTTTCTCCGTTTATATATTAACTACGTGCCGTTTCGAACATGCTAATAGCCACTTCGTGTTATGCTTAGCTGTTATGCCGTTATATTCCTTATATAATGAAAATGGTACGAAAGTCTGACTCTGTTATTTCACTAAACACGATTAATAAAAATGAAGAAACAACAATATATTACAAATATTTGTCTGTATAAAATCATACATAAATTTATGTTGAAATAAATGACTGTTATTTCTTGTTTTCATTCAAATTTTTATATTATTTAGAAGAAGTCCTAAGAATCTATAATAAAATAGCTAATCATTTCTAGTAAAAGAGTCAGTCATTGGTACCAAATAATATTACTTATTAACAACCAAATATTACAATGCAATTTATTTCCTAGGCTTTTCACTAAACGGAGAACTATTAATGGATGCACTTGGAGGTGAAACGTCTTTTGCTGATGTACAGGGCGATTCATTTGTACCAGCATTTACACTTGGTGTTGGTCAAAAGGCAAAATTAACTTTCGGCCAGGATGTGAACACCCTGAAATTTTTTACTACTTGCGGGTTACAAGAAGGCTACGAACCATTTTGCGTGTCAGTATTTCAGTTAATAAATAATCAAATCAATCTTCTGAATATTCACAGTCGTTTATAAAAATAACTATTTCATCATAGGAATATGAATCGACCAGTGACATTTTGGTACACTAAAGATCAACCAATTTTCGAGAATACTGACGACATGGCTGATACCAGGATCGACGTAGCCAGAATACCAGCTGGTTCAGATACACCACCTTGTCTTAAAATTTCCCACAATACTTTTGAAACCATGGAAAAAGCCAATTGGGAATTTTTGAGGCTTTCCTTACCGGTAATATGTCAAACCAGTTTTGTCACGGAAGGTGAAAAATTAAGAAGATGGCAAGAAATTAAAATGCGTCAGAATAGACTGCTCGCTGAACAACTTGAGCAAGGACACACTACGCCATCAGCTCATATGGAACAAATAATGAAATCTGGTTTCAGTATGAGTGACATTAAAGGTACCATTCTTTCCTTTGAGCAATATTGACTATAGTATAGTCATACTTGTTCATGTAATAAACTTGTATTTTATTTAATACAGGATTGCAAAGAAATTACTCCGAAGATGCCGTTGAGGCTGATGAGATGATGAAGGAATCGCCATTGCCTATGCAACGTAATAAACCAGCAAGACCACCAAGAAAAGGATCTTTATATGGTTCACGAAATGCTTTGGATCGTGCTACCAGCGAAGGTGAAATGAATGGCTACAGTGACATGAATGGCGATGTAAAAGATGACAAGAAAAAACGTGGACGCTCACCATTCCGGTAAATATAATGGATTAATAGCATTATTCGCTGTAGCATACGTAAATTAATTGTAGCATTTTGTTTCTGTCAGCAAGCTTAGCAAAGAAATGGAGGATGTCTCGTAAGTTAATTGTACCCTCGTCGATATTGCAACCTATTGACATTATTATCATTCATTCTTTAAGCAAAAACACTTGTGTACAGACGGAAATAATGAATATGAAATAATAATTCACGTAATAGCTGAAACAAATAATCGTTAGCATGTAGAATCATTACTTTTCGTAATTTCAAACAATTGCATAATCTCGTGAATATGACATGACAATATTCATTCATACAGGTCTTCTAGATACTATTTGCGAAGTTTTAATTAATACGATATTATACTTACAGATTCTTCTCCCGTAAAGTCAAATCACCGGATATCAAATCAAAAACACCAGAGCCTCCATCCCGTTCGGATATATCTGACAGAAGTGCACAGCCGTTACCAATGGCAAGATTAGGAACACGTCCTGCACAAATACGAGCTTCTACAGTAAGTAAAGATTTATAAAATAATTGTACATTGCAAGCAACAATGGTTATTTTATATTCTTCATTTTTTATTTCAGACCGATTTAAAAATGGTACCGCCGCAAGTTCCGGAACGCAATGCACCCAAAGCTATGTCGGTTCTTACCGGAACTGGCGTGGAATCCATTGGCAATGAGATTTTTGATTCTGAATGCCTAAAATTAATGAATGAATACTTTTATGGGGTTCGCGTATTTCCTGGTCAGGATCCCACTCATGTCTATGTTGGCTGGGTCACTTCTCAATATCATTTGCATACTAAAGATTTCAATTTATCACGTGTACGCAAATCTTCAGTTGTAATTGTAGATGATTATGATCGTCCAACAGACCAGTAAGAATTCTAGTTTTAATCATTTTTTAATTGAATTTTTGGTCAACATATAAGATAAGATTCTTTGAACAATTATTAATTATGTCTTCAGGGTTGATCGTCAAAGTTGTTATATGGTTCGAACTGATGAACTGTATAATGAAGTAACCCAAGATGCATCTGGTAAAGGTGCGTCCCAGGGGATGTTCGTTGGCTGTTTCGTAGATACGGCAACCGGATGGGTGTCTTTTACATGCGAAGGAAAAGAAACTAGTCACAAATTCAAAATGGAACCAGACACAAAACTATTTCCCGCCATCTTCGTCGAGGCTACCAGCAAGGAAATCCTTCAGATAGAATTAGGAAGAACTTCGACTACTCTACCCCTATCAGCTGCAGTTTTACAAAATTCAGAACGTCATGTGATACCGCAATTCCCACCGCGACTTAAAGTTCAGTGTCTGAAACCTCATCAATGGGCTAGGGTTCCTAATCAATCGCTTCAAGTGCATGCATTGAAATTGTCTGATATCAGAGGATGGTCCATGCTCTGTGAGGATGCAATATCTATGCTAGCATTACATATACCAGAGGAAGACAGGTGTATTGACATTCTAGAACTTATTGAGATGGACAAACTTTTGAGGTGAATTATTTAATAGAATTTTATATTATCGGAGTAATCTATAAATTCACATGATTAATGAATTTTATTTTTATATTTTAGTTTCCATGCTCATACTTTAACGCTCTATGCTGCGTTGTGCTATCAATCAAATTATAGAGCAGCTCATGCACTTTGTCTTCACGTTGATCAAAAGCAATTGCTCTATGCCATTCGATCAGAATATATGTCCGGTCCTCTTAGACAAGGATTTTATGATCTTCTAATTGCATTGCATTTAGAGTCCCATGCTACAACAATGGAAGTGTGTAAAAATGAATATATTATACCTTTAGGTAAGTGATTTAAAGTAGAATTGATATTTAACGTTTCAATGAAATTAATATATAGAATATATCTAAAATCAGGTCAAGAATTGAAGGATCTGTATGAGAACCCAGAGATGAAGCACAGCTTGAGGTATTTGGAAACCGAGTCAGTTCGACCTCAGATGAAGATGACTGACATCAAGTAAGTATTTGTTTTCCAAACTAGATGTGAACCCCCTACTAATTGTCGCCATCAAGGGTTCTTCCTTCTAGTGAAAATCAAAGTATCGAAAATATAAGGAGCCTGTACAGTCCATTCTTTCCTCTGGATGTGGTTCGTGATTATGTAATGATGGCTCTGAATGAGGCAGTTGAGATCAATCAGGTTCATAATCGAGATCCGATTGGAGGAAGCAATGAAAATCTTTTCCTGTAAGTAAATCTGACTTTTTTAAATAAAACAAAAATGGAGTTTTTGTTGGAGTTCTAACATAACAGTATATATATCGAAACTTTTTTCAGACCACTTTTAAAATTGGTGGATCGATTACTTTTGGTTGGAATGCTCAGAAACGAGGATATATTTAAATTACTGATAATGATTAATCCGGAAACTTGGGATCCTACATTTGATAAAGGTACTACTTACACACATAACTGATGAAACAAGTTCCATATAATAATTAAAATTTGTATACCTGTCTTCGACATTTTTTAGAGGGAAAAGATGAACACAAGAAGGGTCTACTTCATATGAAAATGGCGGAAGGTGCTAAATTGCAAATGTGCTATTTACTTCATCATCTTAATGACATTCAACTGCGTCATCGCGTCGAATCTATCATCGCCTTCAGTCATGATTTCGTAGGAGAATTACAAGCTGATCAATTGCGTCGTTACATAGACATCAAACAGTCCGATTTACCATCAGCCGTCGCTGCTAAAAAAACTAAGGAATTCCGTTGCCCTCCCCGCGAACAGATGAACGCCATATTGAGCTTCAAAAATATTCAAGAGGATGACACTGAGAACTGTCCTTGCGGCGAGGAACTTATTGAAAAAATGAACGGATTTCACAGCGATCTAATGTCCTACGTCTCACTGCATGCACTTCAAGAAGCTGCAGACGCTGCTAACGAAGTGGCAGAAGAAATTCAAAAACCTGGCGCTATGAAAAGACTCTTTAACTTCATTAACGCTGTGAAAGAATTCGAGGAAGAGCAAAAAGTTGAGCCTGAACCAGAGAAAAAGACACCGGAAGGTAGGTATAACATTATTTGATAGATAAATAAAACTTTCTCACAAGAAGTATATGGCAAAAGACACTATCTTTACATGATAATATTTTACTGATTACAGAGGTATTCCGCAAAGTATTGATAGCAACGATAGTGAAGTGGGCTGAGGAATCGCAAATAGAAACATCGAAACTTGTACGCGAGATGTTTAGTCTTCTGGTGCGCCAATATGACACAGTGGGCGAGTTAATTAGAGCCTTGGAAAAGACTTACGTTACCAACAGCAAGACAAGAGAAGACGTAGCTGAAATGTGGGTCGGCCTCAGTCAAATTCGCGCATTGTTACCAGTACAAATGTCTCAGGAAGAGGAAGAGCTTGTCAGAGAACGTCTATGGAAGCTGGTTAACAATCATACATTCTTCCAACATCCAGATTTAATTCGTGTTTTGAGAATTCACGAGAATGTAATGGCTATCATGATGAACACGCTTGGTAGACGTGCTCAAGCACAATCTGATGCGCAAACGCAAGCACAAGTTCCTGAGGGTGAAACGCCTGCTAAAGAAAAGGATACATCTCATGAGATGGTTGTTGCATGTTGTCGATTCCTCTGTTATTTCTGTCGAACATCCAGACAGAATCAAAAAGCCATGTTTGATCACTTTGATTTCCTTCTGGAGAACAGTAATATCCTTTTATCTAGACCTTCTCTGAGAGGTTCTACTCCACTCGATGTGGCTTATTCATCCCTTATGGAAAATACTGAACTAGCCCTTGCACTACGAGAACATTATTTGGAGAAGATCGCTATTTATCTGTCACGTTGCGGACTGCAATCAAATTCAGAATTAATTGAAAAGGGTTATCCTGATCTTGGTTGGGATCCTGTAGAAGGAGAGCGATACCTTGACTTCCTAAGATTTTGTGTCTGGGTCAATGGTAAGTATGGTTTTATGAATAAATTTCGACCTGCAAAAACATTTATTATATTAAATCAATTGTAATGGTTAGGTGAAAGTGTTGAAGAAAATGCAAATCTGGTTATCCGTTTATTGATTCGTCGACCTGAATGTTTGGGACCAGCACTTCGTGGAGAGGGTGAGGGTTTACTGAGAGCAATAATGGAAGCAAACAAAATGTCTGAACGCATCGCGGATCGTCGGAAAGTAAGTAAAATTGTGTAAATATGCATAAAAAAGCCAAACAATTGAAATAATTGAAGCAAAATTCAGCAATATCTTATTGTACTTATTGTGTAAGTAAAACTGCGTCCCCTAGGTATGAGTTCCAAATACTGAATGTAAAAGCATGCCTAGTACATGTGTATAGATATATGTATATATAAACGACACTTTCGGCACAATATTTTTTTATACTACTCTCGCATGAACACAACCCCATCACTAATAGGTACCAACTTAGCTTTATAAACAGGTACATGATGAAGCCGAAGGAGCCGCAATGGTGATGCAATTCGAGCATCCCCTACCGGAATCTGATGAGGATGAAGACTATATTGACACTGGTGCGGCAATTCTTAACTTCTACTGTACACTAGTCGATCTACTTGGACGTTGTGCACCGGACTCTTCAGTTATTGAACAAGGTAATTATCGTGTACCTACATGCAAATAACTATCATAAATAAGATTATAATTTTTTATTTTACAGGAAAGAATGAGTCTCTTCGAGCAAGAGCTATTTTACGATCACTGGTACCACTGGATGATCTTCAGGGTGTTCTGTCGCTACGATTTACTTTATTGAATCCGGCTGCTGGTGAAGAAAGACCAAAGAGTGATATGCCATCAGGTTTGATTCCAGGACACAAGCAAAGTGTTGTATTGTTTTTGGAACGTGTATATGGCATTGAAACACAGGAATTGTTCTTCAAGTTATTAGAAGAAGCTTTTCTGCCGGATTTAAGGGCGGCTACTATGCTTGACAGGGTTAATATTTGAATTTATATGTTTACCCCCCTATGTTTTATATATGACGCAAGGTGAAATGTCTTCGTTTCATTTACAGAATGATGGATATGAGTCGGATATGGCACTTGCTATGAATCGTTATATAGGAAATAGCATATTGCCTTTACTGATCAAACATTCAAAGTTTTATAACGAAGCTGATAATTATGCCAGCTTACTCGATGCAACACTGCACACTGTTTATCGATTGAGTAAGAATAGAATGTTGACAAAAGGTCAGCGTGAAGCCGTATCAGACTTCCTTGTAGCATTAACAAGGTAATTTATACGAGTCAGCGATTTATTTGAATATAAAAAAAGATTGAATGTTACACGGTAATTCATTTTTACGAAATTTCAGTCAAATGCAACCAAGTATGCTTTTGAAACTGCTACGAAAATTGACAGTGGACGTTTCCAAACTATCCGAATATACAACGGTAGCTCTACGTGTACGTAATTACCTTTTATTCGTTTGAAATTCTGAACATAATTATTAATTAAACATTATTAATTATAATCAATATGTATGTCACTAGTTATTGACTCTGCACTACGAACGTTGCGCTAAATATTATGGGTCAACTGTTGGTCAAGGATCTTATGGTGCATCAAGCGACGAAGAGAAACGCCTAACCATGGTTCTCTTCAGTAACATATTCGATTCATTATCCAAAATGGATTATGACCCGGAATTGTTCGGAAAAGCTTTGCCATGTTTGACAGCCATTGGTTGTGGATTACCGCCCGATTATTCCCTGTCAAAGAACTACGACGATGAATGGTACGGAAGTAAATCAGCATCCACTCAATCGCCCGATGGACCGTACAATCCTCAGCCAATTAACACGTCCAGGTATTAGATAAATGACGATTCTTCATAATGCAGATTACGAATATGTAAACGTCATTAATGTAATTTTACTTTTGATAGTGTGGTTCTTAACAATGACTTGAACCAAATCGTTCAGAAATTCTCAGAACATTATCACGATGCTTGGGCTAATCGAAAACTAGAAAATGGTTGGACATACGGTGAACAATGGTCAGATGTCAATAAAACACATCCAAGATTGAAACCATACAATATGTTAAATGATTACGAAAAAGAACGATATAAGGAACCAGTTAGAGAGAGCCTAAAAGCTCTGCTAGCAATAGGATGGAGTGTTGAGCATGCTGAGGTGGATGTTCCATCCACGAGTCGTAGTTCAATGAGAAGATCATCTAAAAGTCAAGTATGATATAAAATTTATTAATATAATTTAATCTATATATTGCATTCATTGCCCCTGTAATTTAAATTTTGCTCCTACTATGGTTAAGATAGGAAGCAGAACCATTTACTGTTATATGGATCGTAACCTGTCTTGACCATTTTTTTTTTTAAATTTTTGTTTACCCATCACAAATCTAATCGAAGCGTTCTGGAGGACTCACAATTTCAGGGCGATTCGGCAAATCCGTTCAACTATAATCCTCATCCGGTGGACATGACCAATCTGACTTTGAGCAGAGAAATGCAAAACATGGCTGAGCGCTTGGCGGATAACGCTCACGACATTTGGGCTAAGAAAAAGAAAGAGGAGCTGGTTACTTGCGGTATATTTCAAACTTCATATGCAATCATGCCAATTGATTAATTGTTAATTACATATACCACTTCATAGGGGGCGGAATTCATCCACAACTTGTTCCTTACGATTTGCTCACGGACAAGGAGAAAAGGAAGGACAGGGAGCGATCACAAGAATTTTTGAAATATCTACAGTATCAGGGGTATAAACTACACAAACCAAATCGTGGTGGTACAACTGATACGGAAGTGGCTGGTGCTGGAGCAGCTGTGGAATTACGCTTCGCATACTCTTTGTTGGAGAAGTTGATAGCGTACTTGGACAAGGCGACAATCAACATGAAGTTGTTGAAGCCATCGGATACCTTCAGCCGACGAAACAGCTTTAAAACATCTACAAGGGACATAAAGTTCTTCAGCAAAGTCGTGTTACCCTTGATGGAGAAGTACTTCAGCACGCACAGAAATTACTTCATAGCAGTAGCTACAGCAACGAATAATGTTGGCGCCGCTTCTTTGAAAGAAAAGGAAATGGTGGCTGCTTTATTTTGTAAACTTGCGAGTTTATTACGTTCGCGGCTTGCTGCTTTCGGGGCTGACGTCAGGATTACTGTGAGATGCTTGCAAGTACTAGTGAAGGGAATCGATGCAAAATCTCTTGTAAAAAATTGTCCAGAATTTATTAGAACCTCCATGTTGACATTCTTCAATAATACTGCTGACGATTTGGGACACACCATATTGAACTTGCAAGAGGGGAAGTACAGCCACCTCAGGGGTACTCATTTGAAGACTTCAACCTCACTGTCATATGTCAACAGTGTTGTGCTTCCTGTGCTTACTGCTATGTTTGATCATTTAGCAGCTTGCGAGTATGGAAGTGACTTGCTACGTAAGTAACTTCATTATATTCGTTATATTCTTATAACTATGTTGATATAAGGTACTAAATTTGTCTTTCTTGAATTACAGTCGATGAGATTCAAGTGGCTTCGTACAAAATGCTGGCATCTCTGTATACGCTCGGTGTGGACCCTACTTTAACACATGATAGAAAGTACTTGAAGACGGAGATAGAACGTAATAAACCAAATCTCGGTTCTTGTCTTGGTGCTTTCTCGAGTTGCTTCCCTGTGGCTTTCCTAGAACCGCATCTCAATAAGCACAATCAGTTTTCACTGTTGAATAGAATCGCTGATCATTCGCTGGAAGCTCAGGATATAATGAGTCGTATGGAATCAAGTATGCCAACACTAGAGACTATCCTGACTGAAGTCGATCAGTTTGTAGAATCTGACAAGACTTACAGCGATGCTCCACATGTGATTGACGTGATATTGCCATTGCTCTGTTCCTATTTGCCCTTTTGGTGGGCCCAAGGGCCTGATAACGTCAATCCCACAGAAGGGACATACGTGAGTATGGTAACGAGCGATCACATGAATCAACTGTTGAAGAACGTACTTAAACTCATTAAGAAAAATATCGGTAATGAAAATGCCCCATGGATGACACGTATTGCTGCTTATACTCAACAAATCATTATCAATTCATCCGAAGAGCTGCTCAAGGATCCATTCTTGCCGCTTGCTGAGCGAGTTAAGAAACGTACTGATAATATGTTCCATAAGGAGGAATCATTGCGAGGATTTATAAAGTCATCAACTGATGATACATCACAAATTGAAACACAGATCCAGGAGGACTGGCAACTTCTCGTTAGGGATATATACTCGTTCTATCCATTACTCATTAAGTATGTTGATCTTCAACGTAATCATTGGCTGCGGAATAATATACCGGAAGCGGAAGATCTTTATAACCACGTTGCTGCGATTTTTAACACTTGGTCAAAGTCCCAGTACTTCCTTCGAGAAGAACAGAACTTTATATCAGCTAATGAGATTGATAATATGGTGTTAATTATGCCTACGGCTACTAGGAGACCTGCTACCGTTTCTGACGGTACCACACCATCAGGAGGTGGAAAGGTAGATATTTTATTTGTTTCAAAATTATTTGTACATCTGTGATTATATTCTTGTTACTGTATTCTGTACCTTGTTGTTGAACAGAAAAAAAAGAAACATCGCGACAAGAAGAGGGACAAGGATAAGGAAGTACAAGCATCTCTAATGGTTGCCTGTCTTAAGCGATTGTTACCAGTCGGTTTAAATCTTTTTGCTGGCCGAGAACAAGAACTGGTCCAGCACTGTAAGGACAGATTCTTAAAGAAACTTCCAGAATATGAGATTGCTGAATTCGCCAAAACACAACTTACATTGCCTGACAAGATCGATCCAGCGGATGAGATGTCATGGCAGCACTATCTATATTCGAAACTTGGCCAGAAAAAGGATGTCACGGAACCCGTCAAAGCTCAACAAATCGAGGAAGTTGTAGTTAGGATTACTGCGATGGCTAAAGTACTTTATGGTCTCCATATGGTAGGTAACACTCTGGACCGTTAAGCAAATCATTGACACTGAATAGTAAAAGCCTTATTGTTACGTTTATCATTTTTTGAAAAAAAAAGAAAAAAATACGAAACGCATTATCTCGGTAAGCTTCATACAAATTTGGTCTCTGTTTTCGAGTAGATAGACCATCCGCAGCAGCAGAGCAAGAGTAGTTACCGATCGGTGGTCTCTATTCAAAGAAAACGAGCAGTTATTGCTTGCTTCCGTCAGACCTCCCTACATTCCCTACCCAGGTACCCTATTTTGTTTGTTCATTGTTGTTTTGGTTTTTCAACAGTACATGCTGCTTCTTATTATCATTCGTTAATTGTCCCGTCTACTCTTAAACTAAAGATGAAGTGATAAAGTCGTTTTGGTTTTCATCTCACTATGTTATTATATTTTACACAAATTACTCCGTAACATGATTAATTTTGAATACCGATTTTGTACTTACTGTCATAGCAATTTTACATTGTACTACGTAAGTATATACAAATTTCAAAAAACTGAACAATTCTGAGACAACCCTGAAGACTAATATTGTTGTGATTGATGAAACTTTGTCGTAATGTAGCATATACAAAAAGATCACTTTTGTTTCCTTATAATTCTAACAAAAAACGCGATGTGTGTGCATGCTGCTAACAGGCAACTAAACCACCCCCATCGCGAGATGGATGGAAACGTGTGTTATGTGCAGCTAGAAAGAGAGCAGCTATTGCATGTCTCCGTAGTGAACCGCTCTATAAATTGAGAAGGTAATAAAAAAAAAAGTTAAACGTATGACAGGTTTTACGATAAATATTTCGCATACATAATTATTTTATTAACTGCTTTTCCCTCTTTGGCTTCAATACACTGAACTTGAATGTCGTAGGCATCGGGCAATAAACATCTTTGCAAGAACTTACTACGAGCTCTGGTTACAAGATGAAAATGTGGGACAAGAAGTTATGATTGAGGACCTTACGGTAAGGAATCGCTATGATAAATTTTATACAACTTCAATATCGTTGTGGGAAAAAAAGTGTTTATAGGTTTTTGGTTTCTGTTCAGCAATCCTTTGAAGACGCAGAACTGAAGAAGATGGATAAAGCAGAAGAAGAAGGGAAACCAGATCCTCTAACACAATTAGTTACGACTTTCTGTCGTGGTGCAATGACAGAGCGTTCCGGTGCACTTCAAGAAGATGCACTTTACATGAGTTATGCACAAATCATCTCCAAATCTTGTGGTGAGGAGGAGGAGGAAGGTGAAGAAGAAGGTGGCGGCGGTGAAGAGGAAGGCGGTGCTTCCATCCATGTGAGTAGTTATTTATTTCTAAAATAATGAATAATGGATTAAGATAAACCACAATTCTTATAACAAGATTATGAGCACTACACATTCTTCTTCTTGTTTATTAACGCATGTCCTATTCTTTTTCTTTTCCTTACTAATCGACTAGCCAGGGCAAAAGCTTCTTATGGTAAGATTAAGTAATTACCACAAGTCCCCATCCAGTATCTGATGAGAAAATTTCATTAACCCGCTATAAGAAAGTTATTGTCCAATTAAATCTGGATAATATAATGCACTGACTAATTGTACTAATCAAATTAATATTAAAATTTTCATTGAAATCTCAAGAGGCCTATGCATAAACTCATGGTAAGATAATATTGAGCTATGAAATACTAATGAATAATTAATCTTTAATCGTTAAATTATTTGTATAACTATCAAATTATCATCCTTCTAGGAACAAGAAATGGAGAAACAAAAATTGCTCTTCCACCAAGCGCGTCTTGCGGATCGTGGGGTAGCTGAAATGGTGTTGCTTCACATCTCAGCCTGTAAAGGTCTTCCCAGTGAGATGGTCATGAAGACATTAGAATTAGGTATCTCCATTCTTCGTGGTGGTAACATCGAAATCCAAAGAGGGATGTTGAATCATCTCAAAGAGAAGAAAGATGTTGGTTTCTTTACGTCAATCGCTGGCTTAATGAACTCGTGCAGTGTCTTAGACTTGGATGCATTTGAAAGAAACACCAAAGCTGAAGGTCTTGGTGTTGGATCTGAAGGAGCTGCTGGTGAGAAAAATATGCATGATGCTGAATTCACTTGTGCCTTGTTTCGGTTTATCCAATTGACATGCGAAGGCCATAATTTGGGTATGTATTGCAATGACATGAAAAATACTTCAGATGAAATATAATTGTTCAATATCATTTGATAGTGGTATTTTCTTTTGCAAACAGATTGGCAGAACTATCTCAGGACACAGGCTGGTAATACAACCACTGTTAATGTAGTCATCTGTACAGTTGATTATCTTCTTCGGCTTCAGGAGTCCATCATGGATTTCTATTGGCATTACTCTAGCAAGGAATTAATTGATCCCGCTGGAAAGGCTAATTTTTTCAAGGCCATCGGAGTCGCTAGTCAAGTTTTCAACACTTTGACTGAAGTCATTCAAGGTCCTTGTGCTCAGAATCAGCAAGCACTTGCGCATTCCAGGCTTTGGGATGCTGTGGGTGGTTTTCTGTTCCTTTTTTCACACATGCAGGATAAATTATCGAAACACTCTAGTCAAGTAGACCTCCTCAAAGAACTTTTGAACTTGCAAAAGGATATGATTACTATGATGCTCTCTATGCTTGAAGGTAGGACTTGATTATAAAAATTATACTATTGTACATATGGTGTTCTCAAAATTAAGCGTAATTTGACACATGTTAATGAATCTAGGTAATGTGGTAAATGGTACTATCGGAAAACAAATGGTGGATACGTTAGTGGAATCAGCCAGCAACGTGGAGTTAATTTTGAAGTACTTTGACATGTTCTTGAAGCTGAAGGATCTTGTGTCATCTCCAAGCTTCTTGGAAGTTGATCTTAATAATGATGGTTGGGTATATCCGAAAGATTTCAAAGAAAAAATGGAACAGCAAAAGAGTTACACAGAGTAAGATACAAAACAATGAATTTTATTTGTTTTTCCTATTCCATTCCCTGTATCATTTTTCATATATATTTTTAGTGAAGAAATTGAATTCTTATTGGCATGTTGTGAAACGAATCACGATGGAAAAATTGATTATGTCGCCTTCATGGATCGGTTCCACGAACCCGCTAAAGAGATCGGTTTCAATCTTGCCGTTCTTCTTACCAACTTGTCAGAACATATGCCGAATGAACCGAGATTAGCAAGATTCCTCGAAACTGCCGGTTCTGTACTGAACTACTTCGAACCATTCTTAGGAAGAATCGAAATTTTGGGTGGTAGTAAAAAAATCGAACGGGTCTACTTTGAAATCAAAGAATCAAATATCGAGCAATGGGAGAAGCCTCAGATAAAGGAATCAAAAAGAGCATTCTTCTATAACACCGTAACCGAGGGTGGTGATAAGGAGAAGTTGGAGACCTTCATTAATTTCTGTGAGGACGCCATCTTTGAAATGCAACATGCAAGTGCGTTGATGGCAGTCGAAGAGAGTGGCGGAATTGGAAAAGCCAGAGAATCATCTTACACTTACATGACAGAAGATGATGACGAAAGAAACAAAGATCCCATAAGACGAGGAATTCAAGCATTCAAAGATGGCATATATTTCTTTTTCTCAATGTTCTCGCCTACGAATATAAAGAACAAATTCGCAGAAATGCAACAAATGACGATACCCGAGCTTTTTGTTGGTTTCTTTAAAGTAATTTTCTACGCGTTCTATTACTCTGGATTTGGTGTTGGTTGCGTTATTAGGTACTTCATGAGACTTCTTCTTACTTTGATGAGAGGTCCTCATATCGATGAACCCGTTGTTGAAATAAAAGAAGAAGAAGAAAAACCATTCCGACATCTACCTGCTTTGCCACCAACACCTGATGAATCAAATTTACAGGTAAAGAGAGTCAATTTAAAATCATTTGCATTCCTCTCAAATCTTTGATAAATAAATATCTATTTCCTGATACATAGGTCCAAGCGTTTGGAATGGACATTACAAAAGAGGAAGGTGGTCAAATAAAATTAGCACCTCATGAATCGGCAACTTCAACTCCGCAATCAAGTATGGAAGAGACAGGTGACAGTACCCCTGATGAAGGGACGGGTGAAGACACTATAAGAGCAGATGCTATCAGTGGTGAATTAGAGGCTCCTGTTACTCTGGCTGATCTACTGGGGTATGTAAATTATACAGATTGTAGAAAATATATGTATAATTATATTTTTGTTAAAATTTAATGTATTTTACGGATTAATTTTGTACAGTGGAGAACAAGCAAGAGCTCAGGCTGCAGCTACGGCTGAAGCTGCTGCGCAACAACAGGCAGCGATGGCAGCAGTTGAAGCGGAACATAAACAGGACACAACAGCAGAACCATCAGCAGCATCCAGTATAGATTTGTCAGAATATACTCATAGGATCGTATCCTTCCTTGCTAGAAATTTCTACAATCTTAAATACGTTGCTCTGGTTCTTGCTTTTTGTATCAACTTCATGCTTCTCTTCTATAAGGTACCCTAGTTACCAAATAACACCCTGTGCAATGTAACGAATTGATATAACATGAAGCATAAAATATTATTTAATCAGGTTACTTCACTGGGTGACGATAATGACGGAAACGGCAGTGGAGATTCGATGGCTGACTTATTAGCGGAAATGTCTGGTGAAGGGTCTTCCAGTGGAAGTGGTAGTGGAGGCGATCTCGGTAGTGGTGGCGATGGTGAAGGTTCTGAAGAAGAAGAAGATCCTTTAGAATTTGTTGAAGTATCAGAAGACTTTTACTATATGGCGCACGTTATGAGGTTGATGGCTGCTCTTCACTCTATAGTTTCTCTAGCTATGTTGGTCGCATACTATCATCTTAAGGTAAAAAAAAGGAGATCTGATTTTTATTCAAATGTGTATTAACGTACCATTTAATATGTATCAGGTACCTTTAGCTATTTTCAAACGTGAAAAAGAAATCGCTCGTCGCGTGGAATTCGATGGTCTGTATATCGCTGAAACACCTGAAGAAGATGACATCAAGGCTCATTGGGACAAAATGGTGATATCAGCCAAATCGTTCCCTGTTAATTACTGGGACAAATTCGTAAAAAAGAAAGTCCGACAGAAGTACAGCGAGACGTATGACTTTGATTACATCAGTAATTTGCTTGGAATGGAAAAGACTTCTTTCAGTCAGCAAGAAGATGAGGGCTCTGGATTAATACACTTGTAAGTATTGCTGAGTAGCAGATATTGAATTTTTTGGTTGACACTTTACTTTTTACAGCATCATTAATATTGATTGGAGGTATCAAGTTTGGAAGGCTGGCGTTACCATTACAGATAATGTGAGTGTATTAAAAAAAATTTATTAATTTGTACTGTAATTTCATTATATTTATATATTAATTATAATTTTAATTTTTGCATTATTCACTTGCAGGCTTTCCTCTACAGTTTATGGTACTTTACTTTCTCAATTTTGGGAAATTACAACAATTTCTTCTTCGCGGCTCACCTACTAGATGTTGCTGTTGGTTTTAAAACCTTGAGAACCATTTTGCAGTCCGTAACGCACAATGGCAAGCAACTGGTGTTGACTGTCATGTTACTTACCATTGTTGTCTACATATATACCGTAATCGCCTTCAACTTCTTCAGAAAGTTTTACATACAGGAAGAAGACGATGAAGTTGATAAAAAGTGTCACGACATGGCGACGGTACGAAATTGTCAATTTACGACTGACAATTTCAATTTCACGTCAGTAACATAAGCATTATTTTTGTTCGTGTAGTGTTTCGTGTTTCATCTTTATAAAGGCGTCAGGGCTGGTGGAGGTATAGGTGACGAAATTGGTGAACCTGACGGTGACGATTATGAAGTGTATCGTATAATGTTCGATATCACATTCTTCTTCTTCGTCATTGTTATTCTTCTTGCCATCATTCAAGGTATGTAAATTAGTATATATATTCATATAACTTTTGTGCGTAGTACATTACATACACGTTAAAATTTATGAACGAATTGAACAATATTCTAGGTTTGATCATTGATGCTTTTGGAGAGCTTCGTGATCAATTGGAAAGTGTCAAAGATAACATGGAGAGTAATTGTTTTATCTGCGGATTAGGAAAGGATTACTTTGATAAAGTACCACATGGTTTCGATACACACGTTCAGCAAGAACATAATCTTGCTAATTACATGTGAGTGTTGTTTACTATATATATGCAATTATAAAATAATTGCGTATGAAAATTTATATTAAATAAATGTTTTTTCGTATTTAGGTTCTTCCTTATGCATCTAATTAATAAACCAGACACTGAGTACACTGGTCAGGAAACTTACGTCTGGAATATGTACCAACAGAGGAGCTGGGATTTCTTCCCTGTTGGTGATTGTTTCCGTAAACAGAACGAAGCTGTTGAGGAAGAAGCAAAGAAGAAATAAACTGAAGTTTTGTAATACATTTTATTGGATAATGCACGCGAGAATGAATAATTTATTCATTCTAATTAACAAAGGAGAATTTCTTCCTGTTGTTCTCGATTCGATGCGTCGCAGTAATGAAGGCAAGAATATAAAGAATACGACGCGTTACAATCAAATTTTCGAAACTATACATTTTATATTCAAATCATGAAATATTTAGTCTACTTAAAATTAAGGGACTTTCTTTAATTTTGAATTTTACGCGCACCGTTTACCTCACAGCAGTTGACTCGTCTTTTTCGATTTTTGCGTTTTGGGAAACGACGCTAACTTCGATCGTGTAAAAAATTAGGGTTCTAATGATTTCGTGGGAAAAAAAGATTTCAAAAATCTTGTATATCAATGAGAATATTAAAGGGCAACCGACTACTGTAGGAGATTTACGTATTTTTGCAAGAAATAATTTCAGGACTCATAGTTGGAATTCATCGAATTTTTTCATTTGTAGATAATCACATAATGATCGTGGTGTCATTTATTTCTTCTACCCATTGTATAATGTAGGCCATTATAATTTAAAGAAAAAATCGACTGCACAAATCTATTTATTCACTAGTAAGTCTGCAGTTATAATTGACATCCCTATTTGTACGTCAGATGGACTCCGCTAATATAATTATACAAAATATACATAATACCGATGAAGTTTTGACAAATGATAATTATACGTAAGTTGAATATATTAAAAATATATAATACGTAAACTTCCGACGATATGTAAAATTTTCAGCATGACCGGTGACTGAGTTCGCATATCTCAGAATGTCAATATATTGTAAATAAAACTTTTTCGACAGGGCAACCTGAAAAGACGCAAAGTTTATTGCCGGAAAATTCTATCACCGGGTGAACCTTTCGATTATTAAAAAACAATGTAATCAATCCTAATCCTCAAATACATATCCATTATCTGTTTCGTTATTTACACAATTACATTATCTATTATTAATTTTCATTATTCAATAGTAAGATCAATGCATTCCCATCCAGCTATCTTTTACCTACAAATGCAGGGTATCTAAAAATCGATAATTGAATAGAATACGACCATCTTCTTTGGCAACACTTTTAAAAATACTGGCTCCATTTTACTACTTTTACGCATAAGGAAATCTAGTAGCACTGTAAGGCTGTTATTCTCGACAAGGAGAGAGAAAGGAAAGGGTCGCGCAAGCGCCTTCGTAAATTCTAGGATGCCAGGGTGAAAATGCACCATAACATGGGAGTGTCAGCGGGCGGCCGTCTCAGTAATCAAAATCCAAATATGCAACCCCAAAATGGGATTTGTGACAAGATTGAAAATTACATATCCGAATTGGGACAATGGTACGTGATCATGACAATTTTCAAAATCGCTATGTGACTCCGTTGAATGGGATTTATGTGTGTGTCTCAACAAAGGGTAGTTTATCACAATATGAGAGTGAAGTGACAGTAGTACGTATATAGTAGGTGTTTACTACGCCACTACATGCGTATTATTACTACGCTTACGTGCGATTTGAAGCGCAAAGTATACCGGCCGGTCATAGCCGGCATTATTGATTATAATACTTCATTTCGTTTTAAAAAATTCTATTTTGCAAATTTTAGATACATAAGTGGTTGATGTATGCATATGATTGAATCCGCATGTATATATTACTTTACCATATAGGGTGTAAATTTCAATAAACCGTGTAATTCACATGTAGCATTGTCAAATTTTCAAACGTTTATCGTGTAATAAAATATATGATATGGATCAGGTGTTTGTTGTTCATGAACTTATTTCTAATGCACTATGAATTTATTATATAATATAACCAATGTGAAATTTTGGCAATTTTATTATACCTTAAGAGCTAAACCATACAACATGGTCATAAAATCTTCCATTTTCACAATTTTTTTGCATCAAAATGGATCGAGATTTTATGACCACCTCGTATATCTTTTCTTAATACACAGTTTATATTACAGGGCCGTGTGGAGAGCAATAATAATGGGCCAATTTCTGTCTATAGTACTTTGCTTTATGACACTCTTTAATCATCACATTAACACGGGATACGGATTTTCATTGCCAACAGGTAATTTCTTCTAATTTTACCTAACCATAAAAATTCATTATAAACGTTAATTTCGTGTATATAACTCTTATATATCATAGGACAAAACTTACCACATTATGTGATGATGTGTTTGGTCTACACGTCTTGGCTTTCTTGTCGAGGCGTAGGAAATGGTTTAATCTCTGTAATTAAAGCTCGAGGTTGGAGATATTTGTTATTAGCCCTCATTGACGTCGAAGCAAATACATTGCTCACATCATCGCATCGATATACTAGTCTTGCCAGCATACAGGTATTTTCATATTATTTATTATATTACTTAGAAATTGATAATTTTATAATATTTTAGATACTGGATTGCGTGGCAATACCCGTGGCTTTAGCTCTATCGTGCTTAGTACTTGGTGTAAGATACAGAATGGTACACATTGTTGGGGTATGTGTTTGTCTAATGGGTGTCGGATGTCTAGTTTGGGCAGGAATTGATGATCACAAGGATCCATCATCGAGCGGCAAGTTGACTAATGACTAAACAATTGAAAATGAATTTTAGAAAATAAAAGATTCGTTCGGCCGTTATAGAAAAATGAAAATATACAGGTAAAAATCAACTCGTTGGCGATATGCTATGCTTGGGTGGTGCCGTCTTATTTTCGGTGGTTACTGTACTACAAGAACTTGCTGTTAAAACTGTAGATATTATCGAATACTTGGGAATGATCGGTTTCTTCGGTATGATCATCAGCTGTTTGCAAACGTGAGTTACAATGTATAACGATAGTACCGGTTCTCATGATATATATGCATATATAAATATATATAAACGCAATTTTTTCAGAGTTATCCTAGAAAAGCAAATGGAATCTTTTCAATGGGAGTCCGCACCGGTTATACCGTTTCTGGTGGTTTACTGTATCACGCAATTTGTTTTTTTCTCCCTTGTGCCTGTTATATTATTTGAATCCGGCGCTACGGCTTTACAATTAGCACTTTTGACTGCAGACTTTTTTAACATTCTTTTTGGAATGTTAATACACCAGTACAAGGTAAATTATTTAACTGACGTAACATATAACAATCTAATAACGTTAATCGTAGTTCATGTCAGGTATTGACAGAACTTAATAATTTCTAATAAAACGCGTATTTGTTAAATTCTAGTTCAATACTCTATATTTTCTTTCCTATACTCTCACAATGACGGGTATTTATATTTACGCAATAAAAAGAACGCCAATGTCCTCGAATTCGCGAAGACAGCATATTGAACCACCAGCACCTGACTACAGGTAAAGTTCATTAGAAAAATATATGCATATATATTGTCTATTGTGTTGCTTTATAATGCTCTTTGACTAATTCTGAATACACGTTGATTGATAATGAATTAAAGTGACATCGTTTTAAGACACATGCCCCACCCTGATGTCGGTGAGGTAGAAATGGCTACTAGTTCAGGAATGTCGGCAGTTAGTGGTACACTTGATATAAGAGCGTCCACACTTGGCAGTGAAAGAGAAACTGTCGATGCTACGAGTTTACCATTGAGCGTTAGTTCTGATACGGCCTTTACATCTTTCTACGGTAGTCAAGCAAATCTGAAGGTGAGAAATAACTGAAGATTTTCATATTTTCAAATAATTAATTGTATATATTTATAGACTGTTAATGGGAACAGCGGAGCTACCTGTTAATAGGGGAAAAATAACTGCCTAGGTAAAGAAGTCATAAAACATTTTATAAACTCAACACTCGTTCACGCACATTATGGAAGACTTAACCGAGATAAGTAATTGATAGGAGGATTAATATCAACAATAATTACGGTTAATGATACAAGCCAAATCTTAAAGTAATTCAATACACCGATCGTTATAGCAGGTCCAACACCACGTTACAGGTATATTAATACTTTTTAAACGGAACTACTATTTGTCCGTACTATCGTTTTTTTATATAAAATACAAGTAAAAAATCTACATTCGGGGGAAAAAGAAATGTGCCAAATTTCAAAAGTCTTTTACCGCTAATTAATACATTCGTAAGAATTAATATGATAAGGAGATCTATAATTAACTGTATACTTGCAAAACTCGTTCGATACATATTCTTTTCACGTACATAATATCTATGTAATATAATTCAACGAATCGTTACACTTAATTATAATTAGAATCTGTTGAAAATGTCTTACAGTATTGCGACTCAGTATTCTATTGTTTATTATAATTATTAACGTGTATAATAGTTTATGTAATGTTAATCTTAGCCTATTGTTTACATAGTGTATCCGTCATTATGTACTCAAACATCATATTGCTCAATGTAATTTGTAATTTGTATTATTATTTTTGTATCTATTATTGTTTCACCTAATTTTATGTATTGCGCATTCTTTTAAAATAAATTGTAAAATATTCCCAAAACGGTAGTCACTGATTGACTAATAAAAAATCTGCTCTTCATTGGAAATATATACATATACGTCGTGTAAATGAATGGACAAGTAATTATATATAATACAATCATAGCGATCGCAGCGCCACGGAGATACATATATGAATTACCGAGGAGTATAAAGTATGTATGTACAAATTTATGTGTTTGTCCTTAGAGATGAGTACAGAGATGCACAACGCTACGGTTTTAGGCGATACCAAAATCATTATAAACAGCATTATAATCAGCGTTGAGTAGTGGAGAACCTCTGCCCGCCAAGCAACACATTCGTGTTCACGTTTAGCTCGGCTACGACGGGATATACATTGTCGACGGAGGTGATGATCACAAAATTGTACTTCCAGACTCGTCGCTACGATTCAGCGCCATAATTTTGGTAACGTCTAAAATCGTAGCGTTGTGCATCTCCCTTCTCATCTCTGTTTGCCTACTATGCGACGCATAATCTATGTAAAGTGCGAAAGTGGTTGATCGCTTTCAGTCGAGCGCAGCCGAGCGTAGCGATTTTTTTCGCTGTAAGTTAGAGTAAATATGGATAGTGTTTGAAGAACAGTGAAGGAGGAAGGAGGGTCGAAGGCGTTTATAGCCTCAATCCGTTTCAGTTGGTTCCAGTTGATTCGTTTTACGGTGCCGGAATGGCGGGGTCCATTGAGATCCCTCTTCGGGACACAGATGAAGTGAGTTTTGTTTTATTAATCGTATATAATTAGTATTTGCAGAATTTCTAACTTCGTTTCAAATATGTACAATGTAGAAATCGAAAACATTATATCGTTGCGTTATCCTTAAACCAAAATTGTGAAACCTAACCTCTTTATCTATCTATCTGTATTATTATCCATGCACAATGCGTGTTTCTCCAATATATGTTATATACAACCTATTAAGATTTTTCATGTGGCAACTATATTGATGCCATGAATAGATTTGTAGCAATTTGCTTTGTACACCCATATGTTACCATATTTCAATTGTGTTAGATATTTATGTGTGGTACAATTATTTCAACTTCATGGCATATTTTACCCTTTATGAAGATTTTGTTTCAGTCAAGTATACACTTCTGAGCTTATAGAATATTATTTTATGCATTATGTAAATACTTCTCCAAAATATATTATTGTGTATGTATATTTCCTATGCAGGTTATAGAATTATATTTAGATCAGTTACCTGAGGGCGATGAAGTCCTTGGCATTTTACGGCAAGAACATGCCCAACTTAATATTTGGGTTAATTTGGCTGTAAGTATATATGCGATATATATATTATGTATACATACTTGGTAGGAAATATATTTCTAAACCAAAGTACATATTTGTTTTAGCTTGAATATTATAAGCAACATAAAATTGAAGATTTCATTAAAATACTTGAGTCTTCTCGAATTGATGCTAATGTTGACTACCGTGATTATGAGAAAGATCAAATGCGGGCCTTGGATATGTTGGCTGCTTATTATGTCCAAGAGGCTAATCGTGAAAAGAGTAAAGATAAGAAGAGAGATTTATTTACAAAAGCCACATTACTCTATACCACTGCTGATAAAATTATTATGTATGACCAGGTATGTTTTTTCATGTTAATCAAAGAACTATGTGTTAGTCTATGAATTAAGATAAATAGTACATACTGGCATTTTCTCCTTTAAGAATCACTTGCTTGGTCGCGCATACTTTTGCTTGCTCGAGGGTGATAAAATGGAGCAGGCAGATGCCCAATTCAATTTTGTATTGAATCAGTCTCCAAACAATATTCCATCACTTCTGGGTAAAGCTTGTATCGCGTTCAATAAGAAAGATTATCGGGGCGCACTTGCCTTTTACAAAAAGGCTCTTAGAACAAATCCTAACTGCCCAGCAGCAGTTAGATTGGGTATGGGTCATTGCTTTATGAAATTAAACAATCAAGAAAAAGCACGATTAGCATTTGAAAGAGCCCTACAGTTAGATAGCCAGTGTGTTGGAGCTTTAGTGGGGCTTTCAGTTTTAAAATTAAATCAACAACAACCTGATAGTATTAGAACTGGTGTACAAATGTTATCGAAAGCGTACACAATAGATTCTACCAATCCAATGGTATTAAATCATTTGGCAAATCACTTTTTCTTTAAAAAAGATTATAACAAAGTTCAGCACTTAGCACTACATGCCTTTCACAATACTGAGAACGAAGCAATGCGAGCAGAAAGTTGCTACCAGCTCGCAAGAGCATTTCATGTGCAAGTAAGTACTTATATAGCATCTTTACTGTATATGTATTTTATGAATCTCATTATTTACAAATTTTCAAACATTTTTAGGGGGATTATGATCAAGCATTTCAGTACTACTATCAGGCAACACAATTTGCTCCTCCTGTCTTTGTATTGCCACACTTCGGGTTAGGTCAAATGTACGTTTATCGAGGGGACGCTGAAAATGTAAGTAACGATCCATCACTTCTGTCAATATGAATAATGACAGTTTTTTGAAAAAAATATTTATGTAATTAAAGGCCGCCCAATGCTTCGAAAAAGTTTTAAAAGCTCAACCGGGAAACTATGAGACAATGAAAATCCTTGGCTCCTTATATGCGAATTCAAGTTCTCAGTCTAAGAGAGACATTGCTAAAAATCATTTAAGAAAAGTGACTGAACAATTTCCTGATGATGTTGAGGCTTGGATTGAGTTAGCACAGATATTGGAACAGAGTGATTTGAATGCAGCATTGAACGCGTATGGTACAGCGACAAGAATATTGAAAGAAAAAGTACAAGCAGATATTCCTCCAGAAATTTTAAATAACGTCGGTGCTCTGCACTATAGGTATGCACAATTGTCATGTATCACATAAGAAGCGTATTCAAACGTACGTATTAAACATTGTTAATATTTGTACAATAGACTTGGGAATTTGGAGGAAGCTAAAAAGAATTTGGAAGAATCATTAGCTCGTTCAAAGGCAGATGCTCTGCATGATCCAGTATATTACAATTCTATAGCCGTGACGACGACCTACAATTTAGCACGGCTTAATGAGGCTTTATGTGTGTTTGACCGTGCTGAGAAATTGTACAAGGACATTTTGAAAGAACATCCAAATTATGTGGACTGTTACTTAAGATTGGGCTGTATGGCCAGAGACAAGGGACAGATCTACGAGGCTTCTGATTGGTTCAAAGACGCGCTTAGAATCAATAATGAACATCCGGACGCTTGGTCCTTGTTGGGTAATTTGCATTTGGCTAAAATGGAATGGGGTCCTGGTCAAAAGAAGTTTGAGAGAATTCTTAAAAATCCTACTACGAGTACAGATGCGTACTCGCTGATTGCCTTGGGAAATATTTGGTTGCAAACTTTGCATCAGAGTGGAAAGGATAAGGAACGAGAAAAAAGACACCAGGACAGAGCTTTGGCTATGTATAAACAGGTATAAATTTTTAAAACTTATTAATAAATCAGTCGTTCATTTATGACATTAATCTGTAATGACATTAATAAACAAGTAATTCATTTATGACATTAATCTGTAATGAAATTTAGGTGTTGAGAAATGATCCGAAAAATATTTGGGCTGCTAACGGGATCGGTGCGGTTCTGGCGCACAAAGGATGCGTCAATGAAGCTAGAGATATATTTGCCCAAGTTCGTGAGGCAACAGCTGAATTTTGTGACGTATGGTTAAACATCGCTCATATTTACGTTGAACAAAAACAATTTGTTAGTGCAATACAAATGGTAATTTATCAAATATTACAAAGTTAATGGCTAAAGAATGTCGTGGTATACTCATTGAAATGTCATTACAGTATGAAAATTGCTTACGCAAATTTTACAAGTACCATCACGTGGAGGTTTTGCAATATCTCGGAAGGGCGTACTTTAAAGCTGGAAAATTGAAGGAAGCCAAAATGACGCTCTTGAAGGTAAGGTGTAAAACGTAAAAATGGCAATCGAGAATATACTCCAAATGATAATTCATAAATACAGGCTCGCAGAGTAGCGCCGCAGGATACTGTGCTTCTATATAACATTGCACTTGTTTTACAACGATTGGCCACGCAAATTCTTAAGGATGAAAAATCTACCTTAACTACCGTCTTACAAGCTGTTCATGAGTTAGGCTTGTCTCACAAGTACTTTCAGTATTTGGCGACCCACGGTGATAGAATGGAACAACTCGCTGAGACAGAAGCAAGGAGATGTCAAGATTTACTCTCGCAGGCACAGTACCACGTCGCAAGAGCAAGGAGGCTGGACGAGGAAGAGAAGATGCTTCGGCGGAAACAAGAGGAGGAAAGGTAATAGAGGAATATTCAATTAAGTTAGAGAAACTTAAGTTAAATACAAATAAGGAAAAGACTTGCAATGAGAAGTTTTGACGATGAACAGTGATCCTCTTGACAGTCGAAATAAACGACTTTGTGTTTCAGGCAAGCATTCAAAATGCGTCAAACTGAGGAGCAACGAAAATTGGAAGAGATGCGTCGCCAAAAGGAAGAGGAAATGCTCCAAAAGCGTCAGCAGTATGTCGAGAAGACGAAAAATGCGTTGGTGTTTGGAGAGATGCCGTCAGAAAAGCCTGGAAAGAAAGGTAAAAGGAGCAGGACGGATCAGTACGTTAGTGACAGCGGCGGTTCTGGCGGAGATGAGGGAAGAGAAGAAGCTCCTAGGGAGAGGAAGCGAAAGAGGAAGCCAAGTGGCGAAGGTAAAGAAAGGAAAGGACGAGGAAAGGGTAGGAGGAAGAAGGAAGCAGGCAGTGGAGAAAGTGGAGGTAACTAAATAATTCTGTTTATCAGTTCTATGGTGTTACATGGTTTGCGAATTTCATTGATACCAACTTTTATATAGGTTCGGATAGCGATCGTCCGAAAGTTAAGCGCGGAAGGAAAACTGGGAGCGCTAAGAAGGACAAAGGTTCGCGTAAGAGTACATCTGATATGTCTAAGAATAAAACGCGAATCTTATCAAAGGAAACTATATCGACAAGCGAATCTGATAGTGATAATGGCGGTCTGAAAATCGCCAGCGGGTGAGTAATTATTTCTGTTGATATTGTAGCTGACACTGATGATAGGTACCCTTCGCTAAAGAGGATATCAATTTTCTTATAGGGATGAAAGTGGAAATGAGGGTGGTCCTCGTGGAAAGAGGAGAATCGCATCGGATTCCGAAGGATCTCGAGCGTCAAGATCAAGATCACGATCTGGAAGTCGTTCCAGGAGTAGTTCCCGGTCTCGTTCTAGAAGCCGTTCAGGTTCGAGAAGCCGTTCAGGTTCAAGAAGCCGTTCCGTTTCACGATCACGATCAAGATCAGCTAAGAGTGGTTCAAGATCAAGATCCGGATCCCGAAAGAGCAGATCGCGATCCAGATCAGGCTCTAGAAAGAGCCGCTCCAGGTCTAGATCAAGGTCCGGTAGTGGGTCAAGAAAAAGTGGATCGAGATCACGATCAAGATCTGGTTCCAAAAAGAGTGGATCCAGATCCCGCTCGAACAGTGGCTCAAGAAAAAGTGGATCTCGTTCAAGGTCGAGATCTAAAAGTGGTTCGCGCTCAGGCTCTGAACGCAGATCCAGAAGCAAGAGTAGATCAAGATCAAAGTCCAGATCCGTGTCAAGGTCTAAATCAAGATCCAAAAGCAAGAGCAGGTCGAGATCAAGATCAAGATCAAAGAGTGGATCTCGTAGTAGAAGCGCTAGTGGCTCAGCACGGTAAGAAATATTTAAAAAATATAAAAAATATGTCAGCAGTCATTTGTTTCTTATATGTTATATAATACTTGCATATTTTCGTTCACAGATCAGCATCTCCTGTATCAAGAAAATCTGTTTCTGGTAGTGAGGTTGGCTCACGTCATTCTAGTACAGATCGTGGTGGTGGCAGTGGCAGTGAGTGAGATTAACATCAAGAAATCAGCGACTATAGCCTTGTTAAGGGTTAGTCATAAAATAGAGTATATACATTTTATAACAATTGAATATAAATAAGACATGTTAGATGACCCCAGTCATCATCCAATACGCGAGTCATTTAATTTTCTGTTTCTTTTTCGTTCATTTTCAAGAAGTAGACAGCCAAAAAAAAAAAGAACTGCGTGTCATTTCAAAATTAATTACTCAAGTATATTATTTTATCGTAATTCCATTCTTAATCCCTTCGGCGACAGCCTAGCGTCATCCCTATGGAGTATATACACCATGGCGTCAATATCGTTAAAGGGGTTAATATTGCTGATGAAATCTTATAATCGTTCACTGGTCAATTACGGTTAATCTCTATTTCCAAACTTAATCTCTTTACACATACATAAGTCCCAACTTTATTTGCTATCATTGCGACTTATTTTCGAAATAGCTGGAAATAATTTCAGATATACATATGCTAATCTCCTGTATTATATATTTCTTATATATATAAAATATTTCTCAGTATGTTATATTTCCTGTTATATAAATACTTGCTGCACCATCGGTTTGGTTATCAGGAACACTTTTAAGCGAAAAATATCTATCATATGCATATACATGAATTAAAGAGCACAAATAATTTTCTCGTCGCATTTCATCAGTGTTCACGCAAATTGCGTGATATTCGTAGAATACATTTCCTCGATTCCCTGAAAGAAATACAAAATGCTTCTAGATAAAAATTCCTGAAAGAATATATATATATATAGCAAATACAACATTCCCACAGTTGTAAGTTATCGTTAAGTAACATAAGTGCTAAGGGTGCGAACATTTCGCGACTTTGACAAACGGCAAATGTCTTGGAGGACTTTTCTCGGTTACGTTTTTAGTGTTACACTTCTGTAAGAGATGTCACCCGGCAAAAGGCAGCAGCCAGTTATTGCGGTTGGTTCCCTCTTGAAAAAGCGACAACCCACCTTTAGCAAGGAACCTCCAAATTCCCACGTATACGTGACCTATTTCATCCCTCGATGCTGTATTCTCATGTGTTCGTGATGCGTTCGTCCTACCCCTTTTCTCTACCCTTGCTGTAATACATAAGACGACATTTATGAAATGTTCTCTTTGCTCTGTTTATCGCCTTATCTTTTTTCCCCCACTTGTCAATTTATGTTATCGACCTGGATATTACGTGAAATATAATCCTACTCTTGACACGAGAATGGTATAAAAGAAGATAGAGACTATTTATAGCTGTAAAGGTATATTCTTAGATAATATGCTATAAAATTTTAAAGGACGCCAGTTGTCGGTAATCCGCTCAGGCTTTTATGAGTGTACTTATGATTTTTGTTGTTGTTCATTGTTAACAATAATCGTGTACTCTTGTTTCATTTTGATTACTTATTGACAGGATATGACCATCTATATCCCGTACAGGATGTTTTATTCTTACTTCCCATCATATTTGATACACGCGTTTTACGAAAAAGTCGTTTTGGGTCGTTTACATTTACTCGATTTTATTACGAAGCTCAATATCAGATAAAGCGCCCGACGTCTGGCCAGAAGATAATGGAAATTCAGTGAAACGGACGAAAGATTTTTTCGACCTTTTATTTGTATCAGAATGTTTTTCTGGAAAACTCTCACTGTCCAAATGTTCTTATACTCCTTTTGTTAAAAGGACAGGCATGAAAAAAAGGCAGAGTTTTTCAAAAATCGATAATTATCATTATTGCCGATAGATGTCTACTTACGTCACTCACGTCACACAGTGTCTATTTCAGGATGAAGAGGGCTCGGTGTTGATAAGGAGTATCTTGCTAGAAAAAATAATTTAAAGTTTTCCCTTTCGCTCAGACTCGTTTCAAATCGACAAATGGAAGGTATCGTAGACGAGATAACTTTTCCTCTTGCCATTACTTCGCTCACTCGAATTGATATTGCAATTGGTGAACGTCGATAACAAGCCACTGCCAGCACCAGATTATTATATAGTACATATATATTAATATGTAAACCGACTACCCGCACCGCGTAACTGACATTCCATTTTATTTTATTTACGTTATCAATAATACTAGTATCGTGATTAGATTCTAATATGGTGAGCATTTTAATAGTAATGTTAGTTCACATAAAGGTGATTTCCTATATTAAAACACACTTCGAGGAATATCTCCTGTCAAATATTTTAGTGTCGTCTTCGTTTTTCTGCAGGAAACAAATGTACTTTGCTATTTGAGTTTGATGAACCGTGCAGGTTATATACTGTAACGTGTCGTCCTGACGCCACGTTACAATACATATTATATACATGTATAGTTGACGGCCCCATTTCAATGATAGACTGAGACTTTAATGTTAAATCCGAATGGCTTTGATTAATTAAAGTTAAATTTAAATGTGACGTGCGTGATTACTGTAGAACATTCTGAATACGTTGACACTATAGTTTTTACATTTTATAGTTGAAACAGTCGGTAGCAGGTTTACTGGTTTCAAGTATTGGTATAATTGTGTTAATTTCAATCGTCCAATTTCACGCTGCTAGATCCCCTTTAACCGATCCGATGAGCCACCGTTGCGCATTCGTGGGAATTCTCATCGACAAAGCGTCCAACCTCGAGTTCATTGATCGCGAGATTCATAAATCGTTAATTGAATCATGTTAGCGAATAGTATCGTGTACTCGAGATTCAATTCAAAGGCAATTGGGTTTGTATCTTTTTTTGCTATTTTATCGAGGCTCAATCACTAAATCGTGTTATGAAATTGTTTTCGAGAGTCACAGCGTGACATTTTGATTTTCCGACAGTCTCACAATTGAATTATAAGAATATCCCTGACAATCCATCGCACCCCTGACATTTATTAGTTCCCCATAAAATCCCGATGATTCGTTCAGGTGTATCGAATTGTATTAATATCAGAAGTCAGACTGACGTCAAAAGCGTGTAATACGTATCACATCCTATGACTTCGTTACAGAAACTTCTGACACTTTTTTTTCAATGTAAAATTTCCTAAAAAAATTTTTAATTTTAATTCAGAACCTTTTGCGACTTTTATTTCCTCTAGTAGTTTTCGTTTGTCAGAGGTTTTTGCATTTGTAGGACATAGGCGCACCTGACCTTCTTGATTTTTCAATTTTCTGTCTGTATAGGACGTTTTACGTTCTTTTCTCCTTGTTCAATTTTATCTTCTCCCTTATTCGCTTTCTCAATTTCGCTACGTTTGCACGCATATATACATATGTATATACTGGTCAACCATAAAGGACAGAAATCCCCTTGCGACAACGATAAAGCTTTTATTCGTTCCCTGGTTCTTTTTACGTCACTTCTTTTCACTCTCAAAGTCAGCCAGCAAGAACATTCTTAGATTCTTTGACTGGGCACGAAGAATGTGCGCAAAGAAGCGTGTTTCCCAAGAATACTATTAAAATAGGAACGTGGGTGACTGTTCTTTACAACGTGATATTCGTGAATAAGACATTGTTTGACGGGAAACTCGCTATTGATATCCATACCACAAAGCTATACGTAGAAAGTCTATACCCAGTAGCCATGCATGAGGAATAGACTGGTACTATTGATCCTTTGATATAAATTATTTACAATGGTTCAAAGGTCAGTGACACGTAGATGCACTGTATTATATACTTATTAAGTAGTCGGCATGCGGAAACGGTGCAGGTAGGTGATATAAATGGCGCCAGTATAACTCATACGAATCACTTGAGATATATGCACAGGTGAGACAAAATAATATTTAACATTTTGACAATTCAAATTTATTCTTCTAAAAATTCCTTTAGACATCCGAAATGTCATTCTAGACTAATCTGCCGATATATTATGTATTTGCCAAATTGTACTCAGCATATTGAACTTCGATCTGTACGTTAGATAATGGTCGGTGCTAAAAGGAGTTACGATATAACCAGATGGATTATTAAAATTGAGTGTACAACCTTTAACCTTGGACAGATCTCGTGAAAACATTTATTTACACTTTAAATTTAATGGGGCATAATCTTAAAACTTCATTTAAACCTTAGTGTACTGCAGTTATGTTTCGCGACACTTTCAAAGCTTCCGTTACACACAGAGTCCCGTAAAGTGACGTGAATTTTTTTGGCGTTTACGTAGAATCTTTATAAAAAAAATTCGCTTCGTTAACGTTATGCCAAAGATAGCTTTAAAAGCCGGGTCAAGTACTCTCACTAAGGTATTTATTTTTCTTGAAGGTAAAAAAAGTCATTCTCGACCTTCTCCCATAATTATTAAACAGGCTAAGTTTTAACAACCGAAAACCTGCATAATCTCTAGATACAATTAACGTTTCTTACAGAAACAAACTTGGATGGTTTACAGACACCTCTGTTACACGCCATTCCCATTTGGTTTTTATCATGTGACTTTATTGCTGTCCTGGGTACCATCAACGTCGATTATTTTCTGGTATACACGTGTGCCGGTGTAAAGGACACTGTATACTACACACATATGTCATCATTCATACGTAATATCAGTCTAAGGCTTTCGTATAGCGAAATTTCGTAGTAACGTGTCTCAAGAGAGTAACAGGGTCATCCTGCATCTTTACCTATGGGAAGTCAAGGATCATTTAAAATTTATCGCTACAGTTTATACGTTATGCGAAGGTCAAAGTTGAACACTTGAAAAGCTTTTTAAACTCCATTGTACTATTTACTCGTGCGTTTTCCTCTTACTTACTGTCTGACGTCTCACTGGGTTTCACTACTGCGCACACCTGGTGCGTGCACGGAGCTTCAACTGTGTGTTATTGAAAAAACTTAAAAGGCTACGTTACACGTGGGACCGTTATAGCGACATGATATTCCTGATTAAAAATCTACATAATTGACAGTGCCGTATGCCTTTCGCGTTCGCCTGGTATCGTTTCCTACGGGGTAAATTTTCATTTATGCCTTTCAGTTTTATTCGTTTCGCGTTTTCCGAATTCCACGAATTCTCTTATCTCCGGGATACGACCGAAGCTATCACACGCTGTCGTCTCTTTGGGACCATGTAGGCGAGCTTGCAATGTTTAAGAGAACGCGTGAAGAGGCATCGTTGTTATTTACGTTCTGTATAAGGGGAGGTCGAAAAATAAAGGAAATCCATGTCTCCGTGTATAAGGGGAAGCATACAGCAAATTGGTTTTCTTATATCTTGTTAGTCTTATTTCTTTGCTTTGTTATCTTGTTCTTTCATGTAAGCCCAACTTTTCCGGATAAATTCAATTATGACACCCACACGCCATGTTGCTACATTCCTTTTACGTATTGTCTATCTAACGCTATGGGACTATGTCGTATGTACTATATGTTGAAACTTCACGTTATCTGGGTTTATTTACGTGCTTTTGCGGATTACCCATGTGAGTAAAGCTACGAAGGCTTAGAGACTTTCATATTATAACCAATCAACTCAAACCAAAGCATTGCTTTTTTATAGACGCTGAATTATTGTACTGCTATTACTAGCTGTACGAAACATTACGCTGTATACAGGGCACATGTAGTATTCACCGTGAGAAATTAAACAGAGAGGCAATCGTACCGGTTAATTTACACGTATGTACAGCTGAGTGCATGTGCTTAATAGTAATTCCTCGGTCGATAATGCAGTCTCCAACATAGCCGTGAAATATATTTTCCATTTATTTTACCTACATGTACAGCCAAGTGAATTGGATACGTAGTCAGATCAAAATTTTAAAAATTTATTTGTGTAAAATTTCTATACAATTTTTACGATAATATTTGGCTTCGAGATAACGAAGATTTTAAACGAGACAAATTCGCATGAGATGCACTGTCTATATACGAATTGGCTTGACCTTCGAACGAACAATTTGAAATTCATTGTTCGACCATACTTATGCCACTGTGTATAAGCTGATCTATAACCATATCTTGTAATGGGGAGCCACTAAGGTAACTCTAGACACGATTTTCCGTGAAACTTTTTCCTCGTCAATTTACGTTACCTCACCTGTCCTGCTTTTGAATTCACCTCACAATCTTTCACGAGGAAACCAGAAGGTCGCTCTTTAGAAAGACACACGTCCGACCTCTAACAATCCCTTATAACGATTGCA